AATGTTTTAATTTATTTTTCAGGTTGAATGGGGTCAAATAAGACCTACTATTTTCTTAAAGTTAATGCAGTTGATCATTTTAGATATTTTATATAATTATTTCTTTACTTTTTTTAATAAAATATAGGAAAAGGGGTCAAATAAGACTTTCTACTATTTCCAATCCGTCATTTAAGCCGATATACTAAAAAATGTCATATAAGTATTTTATACTTTTAAAAATATACTCTGTAGATCAAGTTAGCAATTTAATCAATTTTTGACCAATAATATTAGGTTTTTATATTGAAAAACTCTAAAAACTATTAAAATTTGAAGATATATAAATTCAAATTGTGAAAAAGTTTAGAATGTCAAAGTCAAAATCTTTGACTTTTGAAAAAGTTTATAAAAAGTTTCAAATTGTGAATTTTGAAAAATTTATTTTTGAAAAATTTAATTGTCGGTATGTGTATTTTGGATGGGGTATAAACACGTTAAACATGAAAATTTAATTGGTTATAAAGTTAAATATCATACATTAGACAATTAAGAACTAAAAAGGTAATATGTAAGTTTGTTGTAATATGTAATGTGATTATGATACAATGTGAAACATTACAGATTATGGAACACTTCTTTGTAAATAATATTCATCGTTTCATCCTTTGGACAATCATCTTCTTTTTTAATGAGGATTTTGAGACCTGCACGATTGATAACTCTTGACACATCAACATATAATTGTTCATGGTTGAAAACTGTTTGTTTTAGTAAGAGACCAATGTGAGTGGGCGACTGAACTTGACTTTTATTGATCATTGCATAAAAAATGTAATAGGGAATTGTCTCCTTTGAAATCTAAAAGGTAGTCGAACATTAGACGGTGTTAAAGGAAGTCATGGTATTAAAACTTTTTGTTCTACTCTCGTACCATTCAGAAACCTACCTTGTAAGATGTGATCACACATGTTTGTTATGGCGAGTCTTGTCTCGTTACACAAACTGAGTGAGTGATCGATATTACGCAGAAGCATGACTGTTGTATCAACTTTCAATGTTAACCTGTGTCATGCCTTTATTCTTTTTTAACTAGGAAACAAAATAGAAAAACAAAACAGAAAGTTAAAATGACAAAACCAGATACACTGAGGTGTTCCGTTATCACAACATCAATGTAAACATGGATGTGTGGCCTGTAAAAAATGATAGAAATATTAAAGCTCTAACAGGACTTCCAACCAGTTATTGTGAAGCATCCGAAAAGATGTCACTCTGGTTGTTATTTGCATGACCATAAAGATCAGCATTGAGAAACTTGTAGCCCCCCGAGGTCATGTAGACACTCGTTATCATCACTATAGAGATAAACTCTAAAGCAATGGCCTGAAACTGTTGGTGTTAAGCAATGTTGCAACAACATGACTTCCTTCCAATCATTGGTCTACATCTATAATAGATAAGCCCTGTGGAAGTTCTCGCATGTCATGTAGACCTGTAACTGACTCAAAAGTGCGTCTGTGTCCTAGAAAATTTCAAAACATTTGGGAGTGAGTAAATAGACACGACGTGATCAATGAGAGTTCGGTGGCATGGGGCTGAGGCTACTGCAGTCAGTATTACTTGCCTCGGAAGGAGACAAAAATGAGAGACATGGTTCCCCGTGAATTATGATTAAACACTTGTCTGTTGGGAGACAAGTGAGTGGTCTTGGATAGGGTTACAAATGCACTGTTGGATAAGATGCAGTGACTTCTACCTGGGATCTGATTAAATCAGTCTTGAACCTATTGGGAAATTGCTTAGAGTATTTGACCGACTAGGAGTAAATGTTCAATGGATAGTAGGCACTTGAGATAGTAGACTTATCATTGATAATTTGTTTTCTTGCTCACTCGAGCCTTCTGTTTCCTAACGCTCATAATGTTCACTCACTCACTCACTTACTCTCGGTTTTGTCCCTTGGGTAGGCTTAGTTGGGTTTACTAAGCCGTAGGGACATGTTCTCTCATTAATTTTCTCTCTGTACTCCTCCACAACTGGAGCACTCGGTATGCTTTGTCATTGTTAGGCATCGGGGAGAATAACATTGAACACTCCCCCTAAAATATTGCATCCTTTGAGAGATTCCTTGTTTTGTCGGTGTAAGGCGCCGGGAAGAGAAAACTGAAACTCACCCTCAAAATGTGCAAGGATTGATAGCTCACAGCTCGTCATACCCGCCATGTGTGTGGAGAAATCTGAACAGGTACCACAAACCCTGGTTAAGTGATTCACAATAAAAATTGATATTGTTTGAAAAAAAAGTATTGATATTGTTTGAACTGGGAAACAAAATAGAAAAACAAGTAATTCACAATAAAAGTGAATTACTTTTGGGAAGCCATTTGTTTTAGAAATTATTTAAAAGTGATTCACAATAAAAATTGATATTGTTTGAAAAAAAAAAAGTAATTTTGAAACATTACAAGTTAAAGTGTATGATGTTAAATACGATAGTAGATATAGGGATGGACTGGGACGGGTCGGCTCGACCCGAGCCTGGCCCGGTCCTACCCGGTCGGGCGGTATCGGGATTGGCCAATTGGGGCTTCAACTAGGTATAGAGGCAGGAGGGCTACGGCCTACGGGTCTAGAAAATAGGTGACCGACCTGGGCTCATTGTTTTTTAAATTTTTCGCAATTAATAGGTTGCTTGGCGGGTAGGGCTAGGTGGTTTGGGGTTGGGGTGGGGTGGGAGGGGTAGAAATAAATCTGACCCGGGCCCGGCCCGGTCCCCGTAGAAACCCGGGCCGGTACCGAGCCTGCAACTTGAAATCCAAGTACCGACCAATCCTGGCCCGGAGCCCGACCTGGCCCGGGTCCGGTCCACCCCTAAGTAGATAGTACTTTTTCATGTAATAGTAAAAGTGGAAAGGACCACTCAATTTACTTTTAGCCTTTGACTTTAAATTGTTTAATTTTAAGTAGAAATATTTATTTGAAAACACACATTTCAGGGTTTTTGATAAAAGACGAAAAGAGTTTTTTAAGCAATAACAATCACTCCCTAAGTAGAAGTTCATTTTTGAAAACACCAACTTTAGAGTTTGTAATAAACAAACAAAAAACGAGAAGTGCTTTTGAGAATGAGAAGCAATAACAAAAATCCGAAAAGAGTTCAGTAACACTAGCATTGACTGAATTTGATAAATATATTAAAATTCATGAAATCTTTACCGAAGTTGTTGAATCAAGAAAAAAATACTTAAAATATATTTTATTAACAAAACAAAGGAAAAAATATAAGAATATAGTTAAAATGGTCCTTTATAGTTACTTCAACCAATTCATTAAGAGAAGTAACCATAATCTTACTTATTTTGATTAGAACACAATTTAGTTCACAAATTTAAAAGTTACATGTTTGACAAAAAAAATTAACTGATCTCTTCAAACTCGAGCAAAAGCACCACAAGAAACTTTGACACACAATCCCTTGTCATTTGTCAATGAAGAATGATTTATAGGTTCTCCTTTACCTAGCATTTAAAGGCTCTCATCTAATTAAGGATTTGCTCACTCTTCTTAACTTGAAGATTTGTAGGCTCTCCTCTACCTAAGGATTTATAGGCTCTCCTCTACTTGAAGATCTTCTCAATCGTATGAATTTTGATAGGCTCTTCTTGACTATATATAAAGATGATTTGGGTAGAATTTCCTGAACCTTGGTTACATTGGGACATATATCGAATTTGTAGCTTTGAATCTTCTTTACTCGTCTAAATTGGATTTGAATGTATTAAGGGAATTAACCTCCGAATTCAATTGAACACAAAGCTATGTAGTACCGATTTAGGAACGCAGAAACGTGGAAACTTGAAAATCAATATGAGAATAAGACAAAACAAAAGGTATAGAATAAATATGCATGATATTTTTATAAATACTTAAAATCATTGAGGTGTATTTATAAAGATTAAAAAATTGCATGAACTTGTCTGAAAATATATGTATGTATGTTCCTTTGTCCCCTCATGACATTCAATCATTTCAGTTAAAAATAAATTTATACTTCCTATCTCATAGTTACACGCGCATTTCAAAATATAGGTATAGATCATGTAGTTAATTAGTCACTAATCTCAAATGAGAAACACATCAAATAATCATAGTTTCAATATTAAAAATCTACTCAAAGATTTTAGATAGTTATTTGGGTGGGTTTAATTTTCACTTGCTTTTGTATATAAGTAGATAATAACAAACTTATTTACGATTTTTCACGCGGAAGAAGTGTTCTAAAAGGCGTGAGGCGTGTCAACTGTCAAGGGGCACGACCAAGTCTTAAGTCTTAGAAGCCTAGGTGAGTTTATTCGAGGCCTAGGCGTGAAAAGGCGTTTGTAGTTTTTACTCATTATTTTAGTTTTTCTAGAGCTATTAGTAAGAATGTAAATGTGGTATGTGATAACATCATACAAATCTACATCTTATTTTGAATTTCCCAAAAGTAAAATACAAAAAGTTCAAAAGTTCACAAGTAATAGATATACTTATATACATAACTCATATAGGCATGTAGCTACAAGGGATGAAAATTAGTTGAATGATAAAATAAAAGAGATAAACAATTTATAGTAATACAAATAATGAAAGTAAGAGGGTTTTTCAAAAATATTACATAAAAATGATTTTTTAGAAAATAATGTATTATAGTATAATTTTTTGATCAATTAAACGTAAAAATTGAATATAAATTACTATGACCAAAGTTGATATGGTCACATTTTTTATAAACAATCTTTAATTTAGTCATTAATACGTAGTATATAATTATTTCTAATAAGAATGAAAAGAATAGTCGATTGTAATTTATATAAATTTGAGCAAGTTTAAGCGTTAACAATTGTTAGGTGGACAATTCTATTTTATCAAAGTCAATCCATTGTAGAAAGAAAATCACTTCTTATAATTTATAAAAGCCATAGAATACATCAAGTTTTCCTCATACCACCACGCATACTTATTGCTCATCATACATAGGTCTCTTGGGTATAATATACGTAGTAAATTAATACAAGTCACAAATTGAATAAATGCAAAGATCACAACTCACAAATAAAATTTCAGTTAGTTTGGGTTATCTTCTTAAAGAAAACCTTTGCAAACTCGACGAACTTATCAGTTGAAGGTAAGACATCTCTAACGGCTTCATCAACGGCAAAATCATCAATCCAATGGGACAAGTTGGGAAATTTGACTTCATCAAACAATTTAACATCGTTAAACACCTCAATGGCTTTGAACCATGCTACGAAACTTCCCAGAACAATGTCTAGAAATCCAATCCTGTCTCCACCAAAGAATTTCCCGCCTTTGCTGCAATTCTTGAAGACATCCTCCAAGGGAAACACCGCTTCAACAAGATCATGTATTGCCTCTTTTCCTACTCCCTCGCCCGCCGCAGCTGATAATGCCCGTACCATTGGAAATATCTATATCGTAATAGAACAATTTAAGACGTCTCACATCGGTAGAATATAGAAATACAAACTAAAACATAAAAGCGATTGCAAGAATCATTTTATCAAATATACATTATTACCAAAAAGAAGGCACCTAGACAGTAGGCACATACCTTATCATCAATATAAACCGCCCAAAAACGGTTCATGGCCCGATCATAAGGATCATTGGGGAAGAAGGAGGAATCAGAAGTATTCCAGACATCATCGATATACTGTAGGATGATGAGAGATTCACATATCGGGTTGTCGTTATGGACGAGGACGGGTATTTTCTTGTAAATCGGGTTTAGTTGAAGAAGAACCTCACTCCTAGGCGGCTGCAATTGCACCTCAACAAATTCATAATCTACAGACTTAAGTTTAAGAGGGACTTTGATACGAAGCACATAAGGGCTCCACCATGTTCCCAACAGCTTAACCTGGTCAGATGCCATGAAGGTGAGCGATCGGATTCAAAATGGTCTAAATATTGAACAGAGGAGGAAAATTTAAGCTTACAAATCTGAGGTGTTTATGTGTGTATTTAAGCACACCCAAACTTGGGTGAGATCAGGCAAGAACACAAGGACACTAACGTCACTGCATACGCATTGTGAAAGAATGAAAGTCAACGTTCTAGTGCCCACTTTCAAAATTGTTGACTTAATTGACATAAAAGTTCACGAAGATGCAATGTAAAATTGTTAGAGATGTGAAGATGGAGTCGGGCACTTAAAAATAAGGGAGAATCATTATTAGACAAATAGGAGTAAATAAAGCTCAATTTCAAAAATTGAACTGGATGTTTAAACTCTCCTAAATAGGATTTAGGAAAATTGTTTTATATAGAACTAAAAAGGTTTGAGAATTTCAAAACATGATTGTCATGTTTGTATTATCTAAATATGAGTAACTACTATAATGTTTTGACTGTATCAGACTTTAAACATGTCATTTTTTTTAAACTTAATAGTAATTAATATTGTTTACATAATAAAAACATGATAATACTAGTTTGGAAATTTGAAATATTTTTACTCCATTTTCGAAGATTTTCCCTAGAATTTATTATTTGTGATTGGTCAAAATTACTTTTATAATTAAGGGTTGGAGTACCGCCGCCGTTGGCTCACTTGACCGTCGCCGTTGACTATTCGAATTCACTGGAGTCTCGCCGCAACTATCAGAGTATTAGACTGCCGCTGCCGCCGGACTGTCTTGGTTATGCTGGGAAAATAGAAATCATTTATATTAAAGGTAAAAATGTGATAAGTGAATATGAAAATGTTTTAATTCCAAGACGACAATTGATCGTCTTCTTTGGCCACTCGTATGCAACGAACACCACAAATGATTCACCGGCGATGGCAACCCACACGAGGCACAACAATGACAATAACCCTCCTCCTACGTTGGTTGCATTACGGTTATTATGAGGTAGCAACCATTAGTAACCATTATTAACCATCTCGTTTAATTAGGATTGTGTTGGTCATTGTAATGGATTTTGTGGTAATGAGGCTACAATTCAGTAACTAGATTTGTTGAGTGGTTACCATCTATCATTATATAAAAGCAAAATCTTTTTGACACTGTTTTTGAACAGTATTTCTGCCTATAAAAATCTAAATCAACAAATAGTACAAGCTAACAAAGAAAAAATGATCCCCAAGGCAATAGGGTGCACATATAAACATTGTAAAAAAGACTCCATGCCATTTCATGCTCCATGTACAACAACTCATAAAGAAGAACCTAATGCATTGGGGAACTCCAACTTGACGGCTGCAATAGTGCACTGATGTAGAATATAATAATATAAAAAAATAAATCTGAAAAGATTGGACTTAAAAAGTAAAAAGTCAAACGGTAAAAGTCGAGAATGAGTGCCTTGGGCCCTGGGGCATGTGTACATTACAAAAAATAAACTATTGAAATTTTAAATAAAATATTTGAAGGCGTTTCCGATCGAATTTTGAGCTGAATTTTTGTGTGGATAAACTAGACTTGATGAAGAACATACCGTAACAATTTCATAAGAAAATTCGACTGGGAACCGCCCTGAACGGCGGTGTTCGGACGGAGGCCCATGTCCGAATGTTCGGACCTGATCATTTGTGTACACACACACACACGCATATATATATATATATATATATATATATATATATATATATATATATATATATATATATCACTCATATATATTTACATATAGGGAGCGGTTCCGATAAGAACGGACTCCCAGGAGAGAAATAAGAATGAATCTGGACCGTTGGATTGTATTATGTGGAACGAAAATGTGCATTTGATGAAACTGAAATGTGTATTACATGATATTGAAATGTGCAGAATAAAAATTTAAACTCAATTGTGCATTAGGTGAAACTGAAATATGCGGAATAAAATGTACAAAAATAACATCACATCGTATCTTTTATTCTGCACATTTCAGTTTCACCTAGTGCACATTTCAATTTCATCTAATGTACAATTCAGCTTTACTTAATGACATTGTATCATACGCTTTGTGTTGCACATTTCAATTTCACTTAATGCACATTACAGTTTCATCTAATGCACGTTGAATTTCACTTAAAGCAAATCTAACGGTCCAGATTCGTTCTCATTTCTCTCCTAAGATCATGTTCTTATTTGAACCAAAACCTATATATGTGTATATATATATATATATATATATATATATATATATATATGTGTGTATATATATATATATATATATATATATATATATATATATATATATACTGAAATGAAAGTAACTACTGGAAGGAGAAAAAAAAACGGGCATACAACTTTAGAAGTACAAGCAAAAGAAAAAAAGCATGGACCTGATGCATGTTCTTTGATTTTGCAATGAAGCAATCATCTATGCAACAATGGGTCTTCTCTTTCACTTGAAATTTTGAGTCTTCAATAAGCAAGAGTATGAGTATATATTTATACATATATATCATATTGGCATTTATGTACATATATATACATCAAAAAACACAAACACACACATATATGCACACACACACACATAAATGATCAATTGTCGTCTTGGAATTAAAACGTATTTATATTCACTTATCACATTTTTACCTTTAATATAAATGATTACCCTCTATTTTCCCAGCATAACCAAGACAGTCCGGCGGCAGCGGCAGTCTAATACTCTGATAGTTGCGGCGACACTCCAGTGAATTCGAATAGTCAACGGCGACGGTCAAGTGAGCCAACGGCGGCGGTACTCCAACCCTTAATTATAAAAGTAATTTTGACCAATCACAAATAATAAATTCTAGGGAAAATTTTCGAAATTGGAGTAAAAATATTTCAAATTTCCAAACTAGTATTATCATGTTTTTATTATGTAAACAATATTAATTACTATTAAGTTTTAAAAAAATGACATGTTTAAAGTCTGATACAGTCAAAACATGATAGTAATTACTCATATTTAGATAATACAAACATGACAATCATGTTTTGAAATTCTCAAACCTTTTTAGTTCTATTTAAAACAATTTTCCTAAATCCTACTTAGGAGAATTTAAACATCCAGTTCAATTTTTGAAATTGAGCTTTATTTACTCCTATTTGTCTAATAATGATTCTCCCTTATTTTTAAGTGCCCGACTCCATCTTCACATCTCTAACAATTTTACATTGCATCTTCGTGAACTTTTGTGTCAATTAAGTCAGTCAATTTTGAAAGTTGGCACTAGAACGTTGACTTTCATTCTTTCACAATGCGTATGCAGTGACGTTAGTGTCCTTGTGTTCTTGCCTGATCTCACCCAAGTTTGGGTGTGCTTAAATACACACAAACACCTCAGATTTGTAACCTTAAATTTTCCTCCTCTGTTCAATATTTAGACCATTTTGAATACGATCGCTCACCTTCATGGCATCTGACCAGGTTAAGCTGTTGGGAGCATGGTGGAGCCCAGGGATGGATTTAAGGGGGGGCACGGGGGTGCGGCCGCCCCCTTGGACTTTCAAAATTTTCTACTATATATGTAATGTTTTTGTAAAATTTTGATACTTTAATTAGATTCGCCCCCCTTAATTTTTTTGTTGAACATTGCCCCCTTAACTTTTAGTTTTTAAAATTGATATATAGTCTTACATAATGTAATACTTAATCGGAGATTTAAAAAAGGAACATCTAAAATAATTTACATAACTTAAATAAACAATAGAAGAACTCATTATTTGAGATTTAGGATACTTATTATATAAAAATTCTTAGTTTTGAAATGTTTAATTATCTTTATTCGATAACTAGTAAACAATTTTGAAAAATATATATCAAACGATATTGAATACCAGACACTCTAGCTACAAAGTTTTTAGATCATGTGAAGTAATCCAAATTATAAATGTTTATTGACATTGAATTACACTATTCATTTACTTCTTACATTCTAAAAAGACTTTATTGCATAGATAATAAACTTTAATTATTTTAGCAGTAATACAAATATAATATGCACTATATATATATATGAATTATCAATATAATATTATTCTAAAAATAATAATATCATACATACTATTGTAATATTAAAAGAACTGCTTGTGACTTATGAACACCCTCAATGATAGACAAAAATTGTAATTCAAAAATCAATTCTTTATTTCTATAAGACTCATGTAGTTAAACAATGTTGAAATTATTTTAAAAGTACTCGTGAATGTGAACCTTATAAACTCTTTATATTTAAATAAAATGTTATATATCCTTTTTTATTTTTGTATTATTTTCCATTGATTTGTCATTTCTTATGCTTTAATGTATCAATACTTTTTTCTAGAACACTCCAATTATAAATCTAAAGTTATTTTGTCATTGTCTAAACTTAGAATGTAATATATAGATTTAAATGTTGTCACGTATGTATTAATGAAATTTTTTTAAATAAAAATAGCCGCTGAGCCTTAAAAAAATTCGCCCCGCTACACTAGAAAAAAAATTCACCCCGCTACACTAAAGATATTTTTATCTCCTACATTAACGAAAATTTTCGCCCCCTTTAACTCGAAATCCTGGATCCGTCCCTCGAAGCCGTTAGAGATGTCTTACCTTCAACTGATAAGTTCGTCGAGTTTGCAAAGGTTTTCTTTAAGAAGATAACCCAAACTAACTGAAATTTTATTTGTGAGTTGTGATCTTTGCATTTATTCAATTTGTGACTTGTATTAATTTACTACGTATATTATACCCAAGAGACCTATGTATGATGAGCAATAAGTATGCGTGGTGGTATGAGGAAAACTTGATGTATTCTATGGCTTTTATAAATTATAAGAAGTGATTTTCTTTCTACAATGGATTGACTTTGATAAAATAGAATTGTCCACCTAACAATTGTTAATGCTTAAACTTGCTCAAATTTATATACTATTCTTTTCATTCTTATTAGAAATAATTATATACTACGTATAAATGACTACATTAATGATTGTTTATAAAAAATGTGACCATATCAACTTTGGTCATAGTAATTTATATTCAATTTTTACGTTTAATTGATCAAAAAATTATACTATAATACATTATTTTCTAAAAAATTATTTTTATGTAATATTTTTGAAAAACCCTCTTACTTTCATTATTTGTATTACTATAAATTGTTTATCTCTTTTATTTTATCATTCAACTAATTTTCATCCCTTCTAGCTACATGCCTATATGAGTTATGTATATAAGTATATCTATTATTTGTGAACTTTTGAACTTTTTGTATTTTACTTTTGGGAAATTCAAAATAAGATGTAGATTTGTATGATGTTATCACATACCACATTTACATTCTTACTAATATCTCTAGAAAAACTAAAATAATGAGTAAAAACTACAAAACGCCTTTTCACGCCTAGGCCTCGAATAAACTCACCTAGGCTTCTAAGACTTAAGACTTGGTCGTGCCTAGGGTTGGTTCGGTACGGTATACCGAAATTTTAACGTCATACCGCATACCGTACCGAAAATCCGGTATTGGTAAATGTCATACCGTTACCATACCGAAACTTTCGGTATACCGAATTTCGGTATACCGAAAATTCGGTACGGTATGTAACCCGTACCGTTTTATACCGAAAATTCAAAAAAAAAATCTTGGCAATTCCGTATAAAGTATTAGCTTAAGGGGCCTACCGAACATCCAAAAAAACTGATTTTAACAAGTCAAAAGTAGCATACGACATCAATACATAAACCGATACCAAAACTAAAACACAATATTAATCCAAAGTAGAAAATACTAAAATTATGTGCTAATATCTCAAGTCTCAACACAATCCATAATGAAAATTAGAATATTTATCGAACATAAATCAATGATAACTAATGTTTGTAATAACAAATCTTTGAATCATTGTTGCAGCTCCGTATAAATAAGAGATTTTTCTACTTTGGTAATATGATGGGCGTCCACCGTATAAATATTTTATCAATATACTTTATCATTTGTTTATAAATATAGAATGAGCATAGACCAGATTGTTCATATTACCATGATGGTTAAACTTTAGCAAATAATGACGGTCGTCTGCTACTCCGTGCTTCATCAATGGCGTCTTCGTCACTCGTCCGCATCTACATCGTCAATGCTCAATAGTCCACAGCTCTGTCACTCGTTGAAGAGAAGAGAAGCTGCTTGACTCTACGTTGATTTATTTGGGGAGAATTTGACTTTGCACCCCATGTGTTTGGGTGATATTTGAGTTTGCACCCTATTTTCAAAATCATTAATATATGCACCTCAATTCACTATAAAATTATTTTACTTTGCACCCCACTCCTTCACAATTTTTGGGCTAATGGGGTGCATACATTATTTTTAAAATGAGGTGCAAAGTCAAATATCACCCAAAACATGGGGTGTAAACTCAAATTTTCCCATTTATTTGATTAGGGATTTAGGCCTCTACTTGGGAGAACTAGAGAAGGGTCGTAGTATTATAAGATGGGTTATTTTAATTTTGGGCCTTGGTATTTTAATAATTTCATTTAATGGGTTTGGCCCTAAAAATTTACAAATTCTATTTCGGTATATCGGTATTTCGGTATATACCGTACCATACCGAAAATTAACGGTATTTCGGTATATACCGAAATACCGAAAATCTAAAAAATCCATACCTTTACCGTACCGAAGTGACCCGGTATGGTATCATACCGTACCGAACTTTTCGGTATACCGAAAATTTCGGTAAATTCGGTATTTTTTGGTATGATATGGCCGGTATACCGAAATTTCGGTATATTTTCATCCCTTGTAGCTACATGCCTATATGAGTTATGTATATAAGTATATCTATTATTTGTGAACTTTTGAACTTTTTGTATTTTACTTTTGGGAAATTCAAAATAAGATGTAGATTTGTATGATGTTATCACATACCACATTTACATTCTTACTAATAGCTCTAGAAAAACTAAAATAATGAGTAAAAACTACAAACGCCTTTTCACGCCTAGGCCTCGAATAAACTCACCTAGGCTTCTAAGACTTAAGACTTGGTCGTGCCCCTTGACAGTTGACACGCCTCACGCCTTTTAGAACACTTCTTCCGCGTGAAAAATCGTAAATAAGTTTGTTATTATCTACTTATATACAAAAGCAAGTGAAAATTAAACCCACCCAAATAACTATCTAAAATCTTTGAGTAGATTTTTAATATTGAAACTATGATTATTTGATGTGTTTCTCATTTGAGATTAGTGACTAATTAACTACATGATCTATACCTATATTTTGAAATGCGCGTGTAACTATGAGATAGGAAGTATAAATTTATTTTAAACTGAAATGATTGAATGTCATGAGGGGACAGAGGAACATACATACATATATTTTCAGACAAGTTCATGCAATTTTTTAATCTTTATAAATACACCTCAATGATTTTAAGTATTTATAAAAATATCATGTATATTTATTCTATACCTTTTGTTTTGTCTTATTCTCATATTGATTTTCGAGTTTCCACGTTTCTACGTTCCTAAATCGGTACTACATAGCTTGGTGTTCAATTGAATTCGGAGGTTAATTCCCTTAATACATTCAAATCCAATTTAGACGAGTAAAGAAGATTCAAAGCTACAAATTCGATATATGTCCCAATGTAACCAAGGTTCAGGAGATTCTACCCAAATCATCTTTATATATAGTCAAGAAGAGCCTATCAAAATTCATATGATTGAGAAGATCTTCAAGTAGAGGAGAGCCTATAAATCCTTAGGTAGAGGAGAGCCTACAAATCTTCAATTTAAGAAGAGTGAGCAAATCCTTAATTAGATGAGAGCCTGTAAAGGAGAACCTATAAATCATTCTTCATTGACAAATGAAGAGGGATTGTGTGTCAAAGTTTCTTGTGGGGCTTTTGGTCGAGTTTGAAGAGATCGGTTAAATTTTTTTGTCAAACATGTAACTTTTAATTTTGTGAACTAAATTGTGTTCTAATCAAAATTAGTAAGATTATAGTTACTTTTCTTAATGAATTGGTTGAAGTAACTATAAAGGACCATTTTAACTATATTCTTATATTTATTCCTTTGTTTTGTTAATAAAATATATTTTAAGTATTTTTTTCTTGATTCAACAACTTCGGTAAAGATTTCATGAATTTTAATATATTTATCAAATTCAGTCAATGCTAGTGTTACTAAACTCTTTTCGGATTTTTGTTATTGCTTCTCATTCTCAAAAGCACTTCTCGGTTTTTTTTTTTTGTTTATTAAAAACTCTAAAGTTGGTGTTTTCAAAAATGAACTTCTACTTGGGGAGTGATTGTTATTGCTTAAAAAACTCTTTTCGTCTTTTATCAAAAACCCTGAAATGTGTGTTTTCAAATTAATTTTTCTACTTAAAATTAAGCAATTTAAAGTCAAAGGCTAAAAGTAAATTGAGTGGTCCTTTCCACTTTTACTATTACATGAAAAAGTACTATCTACTTAGGGGTGGACCGGACCCGGGCAAGGTCGGGCTCCGGGCCAGGATTGGTCGGTACTTGGATTTCAAGTTGCAGGCTCGGTACCGGCCCGGGTTTCTACAGGACCGGGCCGGGGCCGGGTCGGGTCAGGCAAATTTTATTTTTTTTTCGGATTTATTTCTACCCCTCCCACCCCACCCCAACCCCAAACCACCCAGCCCTACCCGCCAAGCAACCTATTAATTGCGAAAAAATAAAAAAACAATGAGCCCAGGGCGGTCACCTATTTTCCAGACCCGTAGGCCGTAGCCCTCCTGCCTCTATACCCATTTGAAGCCCCAATTGGCCAATCCCGATACCGCCCGACCGGGCAGGACCGGGCCAGGCTCGAGTCGAGCCGACCCGTCCTATTCCATCCCTATATCTACTATCGTATTTAACATCATACACTTTAACTTGTAATTTTTCAAAATTACTTTTTTTTCAAACAATATCAATTTTTATTGTGAATCACTTTTAAATAATTTCTAAAACAAATGGCTTCCCAAAAGTAGAAGCAATTATGAATACCTCCTTATTTGAAAGCAGTTTTACAGTTTTAAGCCAAACTGCAAGTGCAAGGATTAACTTTAGGGGTTTTGACATGAATATAACTTAAAAAAAAGTAATGGACAAAAAAGAGACCACTTTTTTTAAATTCCAAAAATGTGACTAAAATACTTCTACTTGTCTAAACTACCCTTCCTTTTCAATGTCAACACTACACTGCTCCGTAATAGTCTTGCACTACAGACCCACCACTGATCACTTCACTGTTTTACGTCTTTAGCTAACATTGCACACTCTAATCTTTAATTTTTTGTATCTTTAATTTTTTGTTACTTTAAAATTATAATAAAAGTACTATGTATATCTCAAGATAAATATTTAAAATAAATTGCACCAAAACTTTAAAAGTTGTACGAAATTACTAGTTCTCTACTGACTGTCGTCTCAATTAATTAATATCGCATCAGTGATTACTATCTCAGTTACTACTGCTCCAGTAATTATCACTACAGGCCTACAATGACCGTCGTCTCAGTTACTACTGTTAAAGTGACTACCGTCACAGTTACATTCACTAAAGTGATCACCGCCTCAGTTACTAACGCCTCAGTTACTACCGTCTTAGTTACTACCACTTCAATTATCACCGCCTCAATTACTATTGCCCCAGTGACCAACAATATAATGACCAATTACTCGATCAGTTATCTCAACATAATGACCACTGCCACACTGAACCCGCCTGCCACCGCCGCAACAGTGACCTACGTTGGCCACTGCCGCCACACTGACACCCACCGGTCAACACCGCCAAAGTGACCACCACTACAGTGACACACCGGTCAACACCACCACAGTGACCTCCTCCATAGTGACCACCGCCATAGTGACACACTGACACCCGCTGGCCACCGCTGCCATAGTGACCATAGTGACAATTATCTCTTCAGTACGGTGATCGTTACCTCGCCCCAATAACAAATTACTCAGTGACCTATTCTCCCCACCTACCTATCCATTTACCCCACAATCTGCCATCTCCGACGACCACCACCGCCCCAACATGCACCTACCCAGCCTACTGCTCCAATCTCTATCCCTGCATACTGCCCCAACCCTTGCTCTCGACCACCAGATCTACAGTCCCCATCACTCCCCCACCCGATCCACTGCCAGTGCCCTTCAACTACAACCCTTCATGTCATTCCCTACCCCATCACTTGAATATGGCCCGTGTCCTTCCATCTAGGTAAGAGGGCTCGTATAATCCGATCACTAAACAACAGCCTGCTAGTTGCACCAGCGTTATAATGTTCAACAAAACCACATCCTTGATCTGCATCTTCCGTTGCACGGTATACGCACTCCTAACTCTTACTTTTTACATTAAGTCACCTTTATTTAAAAATACTACTACGTACTAACTTTCACTATTAAGCACTATCTTAAAAACATTAAAAATCCCTTTTTAAGAGGGGAAGCAATGATCTGATATTATAATCTATATACATATAAAAATGAAATCGTAGATAAATAATTGTTCCCGCCCTTACATACACTTGCTACCGAACGGGTATCACGTGAGTAACTAATGAAGACGGTTTGTAATATCACATGAATAACTGCGGTAGACGTGGGGGTTCATCCAGAGAAAAATGAAACTGAACTTGCACACTTTTAGGCTTTTAGCTCCATTATCTATCACTATGATCCTATAAATTAGTGCTCCCAGAGTCCTAGAACTCCAGTCGTAACCTGAAAGGCTGAAACTACGTGAAACTTATGATGCATGTACTTTTGCAACATTCCAAGAATGATTTATGTACAATTTAAGAGCATGTAAACAACATGCAGATTTTGGGCAAGGTAATGCATGACAACGAACCTTTCGGCCTGTTCCTGCGCTTTTCAATATACTATAGATATTTTTGTGGACTTTTTTATCATTCGTAGGGTTCATACTGTGTTTATATGCTTAATGTGTGCGCTGACAATATGAGTATCACGCACAATAGTAGGGAATATAATGGGAAACACATAAAATATTGGATGAAATTTCTTAATTAGTGCTTGAAGATTAGTTATAGTATGAAAAAATATTTGTATGCTTTGTATATGCAAAATATCATAAAAATCTTCAGTCTCACCTGTTAGATGTATAATTGTTGTTCTATACAAAGATGAACATACATCTATTTTTTTTGTCAAACCTGAAAATGTTAAGAAATAACATACTACTCCTACATACCAAACCACTTCCTACATCTAAAAAATTATAAAAATAGATTTAAAAGGAAAATTAGTATTGACTCAAAATATTTATCATACGTAGTATAGCGATATATGAGATAAATATGAAACTTAATAGTACTTACATGTTTACAACAAACTTAACTAAAACCTAGATATATATAATGAAATTTATTTTTAGACATCGGAAATATATAATGATATAGTGTGTGTGTGTGTGTCCGGTGTGTGTGGTGTGTGAATATATAACTAAAAATGTGACCATTTTATATTTTAATGATGATTATTTTATAGTTATTTTAGCCACACTTTTATGCAAAATATCATAAAAATCTTTAGCCACACTTTTATGCATAAAAATCTCTAAATGTTTACATCTATAGCTTTTTCATTTTTTATTATATCATACATGTTTTTTCTTAGGAATGAGAATTTTATTAAAGAGGAAGTAAAAGAGCGAGAGTACATGAAAGATCAAAACAGAAGAAAACACAAAAGGTAAAGAAAGCAAGAAGAGAAAAAAACTCTAAGCTTACAGTAGTATTTTAATTTTAAGAATATCTTTGACCCGTGCATCGCACGGGTACGATACTAGTAGGTTTAAAAGGATATTTAAAAACAGAAGAGGAGAAGCAATACTCTCTTAAGAGACGATAAGAATTGAATTGTGGCATTTATTGCAGTGTATATTGAACACTGACTTTGAAGCAGCTTAAAAGTCTTAAACCGTAGAGTATCCAAATCACTTCAATGAAGGCGTTAAACGGAGTGGAACGGGATGGTTGTGAATAGATTGAAAAATAAATGTATTAAAAAATACAAAGTATTAAAACTAAATTTATTAAAAGTACAAAGTATTAAAAATATATTTATTAAACTACCATTTGTAATACTATTCTGCTTTCTATTGCTTGTGAATAAGTTGTGATCCGCCAATACTCTCCAACTTCTCTCTAGGACTACAATTACCTGGCCTCTGTAGGTAATGGCTTGGTAGAAATTGAGGTCACCTCCATCTTCTGTTAGCAAACGTCTCTCTTAGGTATGATTGTATGAACGTCAGTGTTAACTGATCGACTGCATATCTGCACTGCAACACATTACACAACATTTAAACGATAAAGCACAGAAAAAATGAAAAAACAGCGCATAATCCCATCATTGTGATTTCATATTCAAACCCTATTAGTTTTCCTATTTCAAATTATTGAAATTTGACTGAATATACAAGTTAACTCTTCACTAATAACATTTAATGTAGCATCAATAATTAAAATTTGCACATTTGCAAACTAATTTTTTTATAGAACTGAAAAACCCAGATTTGATTAAAAAACAGGTACACAAAATGAGAGAACAAAAATGAATCAATTTGACTACATGATTAGTGAAATGGAAAAGGAAATAGGAATGGATGGAGTAAAACAAATTAAAAGTATAGCAGGTATACTCATCAAAAGATGCAGAGCATTTGCTCTCATAGAGAGCCAAGAAGGTGGTGTTTATTGGGCCTCAGATCAGTAGTCTATTTCTTCAGAAATGCTGGATTTTCCTCTATACACATACATGATCTCTTCCATCCAGGTCTGCAAAAACGTTGTTTCAGTTAATAGTTCTTGTTTGGAGTTCCCTTAATAACAGTGCGTAACCCGGTGAAGTTAGTGTTACTACGCCAACGGTTCAAGATTTGATTACAAGGGGATGATGTACTCACCATTTCCATTATAAACTGTAGGTAGTGTAACTTACTCCAATGAATCCAATCCATTTTCTTAGGTTAGGGTTAGATTGCTGGAAAATGCTCAGAAAATTTTAGAAAATGCAAAAGGAAGTCATTTTATCATGTTCTGTTTTACCTCTGAAAATGCAAAGGAAAACACATACGTAGATTTTTTATGAATTTTCATATATTTAGATTTCTTAGTCTTTATAAGATATAATCCTTCCGTCCCACTCAACATTGCACACTTTCATTTGAGTGTGAAATAAGAATAGTAAAAACTGTGTGGTTGATATTTGTACAGAGAAATAAGAACCACAAATTCATTACTTTAAAAGGAAAGTGGCAAAGTTTTTGGGACAAACAAAAGTAGAAAGTTGGCAAAGTCTAATGGGACAGAGGGAATATATAAATAGAAAAATAAAATGAGTGTGAACAAATATCTAAAATAAGTTTGTTGAGTTATTCTCCCCACATTTTTGTTTCATATTTTGCTCTAGAGTTTCCTGGAAATATAATTGATGTCATATTAAACTTGACATATCTTTAGATTGCTTGGTAATTAGATGGCAGAAATAAATAAATAATGACGAACAAATATTAAAAATCAATTTCTGGAGTTTGGAACAATGTTTTTTTTCCTCAACATTTTCTTTCCTTCCAAAAATGTCCAATAATTTCCTCCCTATTTTCTTTCCCTGGCATTTTTCTCGTTCCAAATAGACCTTAAAAGTTAGAACACTTACATCATGTCTAAAGGAAATCCTCATGTTTGGAACATTTGTTTTGTGAATGTCATTTCCTTCAGGGCCTCTCTTGAAATATTTGTTCCCTAGCCAATGCAACTGCAACATTTACCAAGAGGCACCAGCTTTAAGGATCAAAAATTACACAAAATCATGTCAAGGACCAAGAGAAACATGTAAGGTACCAAGATGGAATAGCCGATCCTAGTGGGTGATAAATAGGCTTTGTTTGATATTATTCAGCAACTTTTGACTTGCTTATTTGGATGAAGTGGCTCTTACCAAACGCTTTTAACTTTAAAAAATTCATTTGAATAACAATAAGTCAATAACCAAATGGGCCATTAGAATATAGGTACATACCTTGTCATCATGTGAAAATCCAGACTGATAAACAGAATTTCTAGCTATCTCACAGAGGTCACAAGAATTCAGCTTCCAAACCTGGATTAATATATAACTTAGCAAGGTGCACAAACACATTGTTGTGCTCTTTTGACTAATACGCACACATACATATGTATGTACATATGCACGATATACAAGTATAGACTAACCTTAGCTGCAACACTATATTCTTCAACTAGGGGCTCCTTTGTCAAATGAATTTGCAAAGGGTCATCAGTTGAGAGTGAAACATTCAACCCACGCTGGAAGAACATAAGGAAGGGATTGCGATGGTAGTCCAGAAAAAGTGAATTGTTACTTAGAGGAGACATAGCCAATCCAATCTGTAACACCATTTGAATTATTATTATAAAAGATACACAATTGAATGTTTGTAAACCTGGAAGAACAGAAAAGAAATTCATCTTATAGTCAAAAGCTAATTTCAAGAGAGATGTGATTCCCTTATCCAATCCCCCAGGTTTCACTTTCTACCACTAGACAGGACATAATTTTTTCGACCACCAGATTCCATCAGATCATTGCAGTTATGACATCCAATCCCCCGAAACTAACTAAATGCATTACCCTACTTGGATACATCTAAAACATTGCATAGCAAATCTCTAATTGCAATAAAGGTGAAGTGAACTCAGTTTATGGCGCTAAATCAATTTGAGTGTGGTGGGGAATGAAATGTATTAGTACACTTAATTAGTTTCAGAGGGGCTGAAAACTTAATTGTCGTTTCTATTAAGCATAATAACATTTGGAAGATTAAAAGTTCCTCACTAAAATGTGCACATTGGTGGTAAGGTATGTCATGGAGTTCTTCCAAGGAATTCTTGATAATAGAGGGCATTCAATGAATGGGAAACAAATATAAAAGGGTTGAGTAAATCGAAATGCAACTGATTAGATGAGACAAAGAAGATAGTCAGACAGGGTATCGAGAAAATAAACACTTAAGGGTTCATTCGGTACCCGCAAAATGCTAGAGAGATAATAATACGAATGAAATTTGATTGAGATATTGGATGGAAAGAATTTGGGACGAAACAGTGAATTGGTCCAAAGTCCAAACTCATTAATTCAATTTCAAATATTTGTTCAAACTGATTTGGTTATGGGTCAAATCTCAAATCTGGAAAAAAAAATCAAACTCATCTATGTATATATTTCTAGTGTATGACATATAATAAATCTAAATGTGTAAAATCTTAAGAACATCTAATAAGACCCCAATTTGTTTTTCCTACCATTGCCAAACATATGATAATTAAACATTTATTCATGATTGGACTGTTTTTGTGCAATGTCTTGGAAAACGGAGGATTCAGGACAGCATGTCTGTAGCATAATCATAAACAAACCTGAGCAAGGAAGTACACATACTGCAACACAGGTGATTTACGCAAATTGATTCCATGAGCAATGTTATGACATAAAAGAAATCCAGCAGCTAAATGGTCAATGTCGCCTGCCTGCATGGATAGAAGGTGTGGGATCATTAGCCAATACAACAAAGCAAGTAGATGAATATTCAAGAACCAAACTGAACACGAACCTCCCCACAATGAGGTCGGAATCGTATTGTTGGGAATCCTTTTGATTCACGAAGCTGAGAGCAAAAAAAATACAAATACATTTCAGAACGGAATAATAGAATGTAAAATACAGCACACCATATCATTTATCAATACTCAATATAAAGAGTCAAGTAAGTAGTCATCTCTTTCAATAATTTCTCCGAAGTAATTCATTACTCCCTCAATATAACAAAAATGAGTCATGCTCCGAATATTTGTCCCCAAAATATCTGGTTTGATCAAACTAAGATAATTTTCATGTGATTTTCCATATAAAAGTAGTCAGTCAAGTAACATATGCTCCATATTAAATTTATTTAAGCCAACATAAATATTAATGGCAATTGTACCTTTCTAATGTTAAAAAGTTGTTCCTGGGTCAGACAAGAACTTTTTTAGGGAGAAGTTAGTCAAATACTCAATGTAATCATGACATTCCAATCTCCCACGAATAGAAGCCTAAATTTATACATTGGAAGTTTGGAACTACCGAAAGTGGCAGGATGCATTAACCCGAATAACAGAACTTAACCCGAATAATGGCAATTTTACCTTTCTAATGTTAAAAAGTTGTTCCTGGGTCAAACAAGACCTTTTTTAGGGAGAAATTAGTCAAATACTCAATGTAATCTAATGACACATAATGACACATTCCAATCTCCCACAAATAGAAGCCTAAATTTATACATTCGAAGTTTGGAACTACCGAAAGTGGCAGGATGCATTAACCCGAATAACAGAACTTAACATTGCGCAAACGTCATCCATTATTTGTGAAATGGTGTGGCTTGTTGTCCTTTAGTTTAGCATTCTCAATAAATACTGTTTGCTAACTAGGCAATCCAGAATGATTTTGACTAACTTTTTTCATCTGTCATTTCAATCCAGATTGTCCACGTAGCAACTCCATGGAGTTACTAGAGAGGATACGTTTGCACATTCATTTCTTTAGAATATCCACTTCCTGCTTTGACTGGAAATGAAATTCCTATTTTGTAGATGTCAGCCCCTCCCCACCCACAACCCACATAACCATGAAAAAATATGATAGAAAAGGTAAAATGTCAGAGTATTAGCATGTCCACTAGCAAGTTATGAAACTCATCTGACCTTGTTGAGTGTGTACAAGTTTGCATAACAGTAGTAAGCATAATAAGAGAATGCAGGATTGAACTCATTTGTCCACTCAGCAGGGGTTGGCATGTGTTTGGTAGGACGCCGTTCCGGTTTACTTTCATCATCAACAATGTCAAAACCAACAACCTGTATGTGAAACAAAAAAATGTCAACGCTAATTTGTTAATAAAAACTATTGGTGGTGAAAATTGATAAAATATTAGGCCAAACAATATAACCTGCATTAGGAACAAGTGCAATTGAGGATGTGAATTTGGATTGACAGTGACTTCAAATAGAGGAATGAATACATTATCCAAAATATTCTGGAAGGATGTAACAGTTCCCATGCTTCTGTAGATATTGTAAAGACGTGGTAACTGCATTGTTCATCAGTGGAAGGAGGAAAAATCTTCAGGGTCAATAGGTTATTATATAGATAAAATTATTTATTCTGTGATGTAACAAAAAATTATTCATATGTTGATTCATATAAGACGATCCTAAACTCTTTCGGGTTTAAAGCTTGGTTGTTGTTGTGATGTTACAGCTACTGACCTGAATCAACCAAACAGCATTCTCACTATAAATGGCATTGTTTACAAACCAACTAGCTAATTGATCCCATTCGCTCTGTTTCCTTCCATAGACTGAAATTCTATATTCAGCCATCTGCAACACAGAAATGATTTTCTGCAGTCTTAATATACACAAGAATATACTCGGTACAAAGTAAAAGATTTAATAGATGTACAACCATGAATAATTGTATAAGAGTATAGGTGGCAACAAAATTACAGAAGGCAAGAAGAGTACCAAAAAATGTATATATACACACCTGGTATTTACTTGCTTCAAGGTCTGCCAGGACTTCCTTTGTCACTTCACCTAGGAAACGGCCTGGAATAAAGTTTACAATGCTTATCATTTATAAGCACAAAAAAGTTTATTAATCTCAACATATTGAACGGGAAAAACTAATTAAAGCAGTATAAAGTAGATCTACATGTTACTGATATCTAAGCCAGATGTCTCATATGAATCAAATAAGAGATGTACGCACATTTCTGGTTACTAAAATGTGTCAAAATACATCAAAATATTTTCAGGCTGCATTTGTGTAACTAAGCCTTTTATAAAGGACCAAATCTGAAAAAGTCCATATACAGAGAAACTACAGGAAATCCAATTTAATACACTATCCATGTGATTGGGAGTGGATTTTACAATTCACATCATTAAGAAACAGACCTTGAATAAGGTTGTCTTGCTTCAGAAAGATCTCTCTGAGTCTGCTCTGACCACATGGATTATACTTGAGGTTGAATTTATCAAAACGGTGGAATGTACTCTTATCAGCATGAACATCCAACAAATCAACATTAAGATCATGCCTGCAACAGTTAAAGCTTACAAAGTCAGGTACCTGAAAGCTAATGCAGCCCCAATATGGTAGTGTGACAAGAACAAAGAACCGAACTATACAAACCCTGTTAAGTCCAAACTCTCAAAGACTTCCTTTAATGTAAGATACTGCCCATCACGAAATATAACAACCTATTGAAAAAGTAAGCAATAGATTGATTGTAAAACGGACAAACACAGAAATCAATTTAACAATCTATTCATTCTGATTGTATGAGGCTAAGCCAGCCAAAAATGATTGTGTGCAATACCTCGTCAGGTTCTTTTTCTAGTTTTGACTTAATGAACCGGAGGAGATGCTTCTGGTTCATACAAGCAGAATGATGCACATGGGTATCAACTTTTCTGATATTGTAGAAATCACGATGAGGCGCACTCTTTTGTGCTAAAAATTCCCGGTCAGCATTTACCAGCAAATGGAGGCGAAATTTCTGTGTCATAGTTTTATGTAAGCTTTAAAATGTCTGAGATGGGAAAAGCATCTTATGAAGTATTACCTCCTCGAGCAATCGCAGCCTATGATGGCAAGCAGAACGAACACTACCAGCAGCCGTAACTTTTAGGAGATGGTGCATGTCAGTGAAAAATGTTGTGGAGTTCGCAACAGGAAAAAGTTCTTCGGTATCTAAAGAATCAAGCAAAAACATTAAGGTTGTTAGGACCAGGAGGTTTGGTAGACATGACTTCAGTAATGGTATGAATACTGAGATCCAAAAAAGCTAACCATTTTCACTAGCATAAACTCGAACTACTCCATCAATCATCTTAAAATGGTGCTGTATGCAAATTAAAAAATCCATCAGTGGAAAATGTTTGATGTTGGGGTGGGGAGGGGCTTGCTTGCCCTACATGGCATAACATAAAACAATCTACACTAGCATAAACTCACACTAGTTGCTTCACAAGGAACAAACTGAAACGGGTTTAGTTTGACATTTGATTCTCCATCTGCTGCCTTCATCCATGGAACAATATTCTCTTTGAAGACATACCTTTGTCTTAAAGCTAAACATTCACGGATCATCCTCAAAACCTCTTCCTCTTCAATGTTAACTGACTCTGGTTTAAGAATTTTGATAAGTGAAAGAATGAGCGGTTTTTCTTTGTTTCTAACACAAGCCAAGTCCAAGTGATACATCCAAATTATAATGTAAAGGTAAAGAAATAAATTAATAAAAACCTACCATTCATTGTAGGCACCTGCGATAAAATACCATTGAAGATGTGATCGGTCGCCTTAATCTGTCCTAGATCTGTATCCACCTTTCTATCATGATGATGGTCAACATTGATTTTTCCTTCATCGATAATTGTTTTATGTGGTTGACCATTACGCTGAAAACTGTTTTCTGCTTGTGACGGAGTGATTGGCATGTTTTGGACATCTGGTACAGTACCCTGAAACACAAATTTCTTTTTGTAATGTTTGTTGTGTCATAATATCAGCACGAGTAAAGCTCCGAGTATGGGAAATAGTCTCTGAAGGGATAACTAAATATAGATTACAGTAGTAATTATGTCTGGGTGACTGGGTACATAGTTTTTACGCAGATCAGATATTTTTCTACTGCATGGATACATATCAATCTTGTTGTACACTTTTCATGGGGTATCCTCATACAGCATTTTGAATCAATGGGTCATGATTTGCATATACAAATAAATAATACAGAATATAATCTTGTCATAATGTCATCTCAAGTGCAATCATTTTGTTCTAGACCTTAAATTAAATGCATCTTAGTTTTCTCTTGCTCCGTTAATTAGAAGCCCCTAAATGAAAATCAACAGTACAACAGCAACAGCAACATCAAATTACACTGTAACTTTCCACTATCAGTTAATGTGACTATATATCAGGCAACCATATTATCAAATGACAGAGAAATTTCTGAACACACTTCAAACTCAAAAGCTTACAACATCATGGAAGAATTCAATATCCTCATGAATGAACTCATCCTCATCATCATGGAGATCGCCCTCTTGTGAGTTTAAAATTGAGGATTTTGGAGTCATTTGCGTACCAGCAGACCCAACACGCATCTTCCTATCAGAACCATCATTGTATTGGTTCTTCCCTACATTACAGAGAGTTGAGTCATAAAGAATGCAGCCTACTGAATAACATCACAGATCACACAATTGCAAATGAGTATGTGACTATGGACAAAATATCTTTTATTAAGAATTTGGAGCTAGAAATACCTTCAATATGATCAGGTTTACACCAATCAGCTGAGTACCAAGGATTAACAAATAGAGACTCATTTTACAGCTGTTATCTGTACTACAGTTAGTTGGGCAAGTCCAAGTTTCTTAATGCAAGTATTCCAACCATGCTGGATACTTAACCATATACTGTCTATGTGTCAAAATGCACCTGTATAAACAAGTGAAGAACACCTAGGCTTGATCTATTCTTTAAAAAAATGCTATATCTAATATCTGAAAGGTCCATTTACAAGGATGAGTTCAAAAACATATTTCATTCTATTAAGTTAGTATTAAAGGGCGTGTAAGAAAAATTGTAAGGTTAATATGAAAAACTGAAAAAGCTCATGGACCCAAGAGCTCTTAGGAAACTGTGCAAATTAATCTTGGTCTTTAATTTGTGTTCACCCCTCATGCCTCAAGTTCTGACTCCCTTCTCTAGTGCCAATGTTATATGCCTTAGCCCTTTGAGAATTACAGATCAAGCAAACAGCAGTAGAACTACAGATCGACTAACCAGTCGGTAATAGAAGGAAAAGTACTCCCGCATGATTTTATTTCTTGTTTTTCTTCTGTCCAAAATAAAACAATCTTCTTGTTCCCAATGTTTGAAAAGACGCTTTTAATCCTTCACACGTTTTGCATTTGCAAGGTGAGGCATAACCGCATAAGCCTCTAGTTTTATACCAAATTGCCTTTACAATTATTATTACCAACTATCTAAACTGTATTATGACCCAGACATAAAGTGATCCATAAATATATGTCATACACCACTATCATAAGCTACCTCTTACAAGGAAAGTTTTAAGTTTTATTATAGTCCTTAATAAAATCTGAAAAAGTTGTTAATATTAGAAAACGGAGAAAAATGGCTGGATCCGGGAGAATTTGATATTCTGGAGCAATTTGAATAATAACAGAAAAATAATGTAGTTATCTTACCTCTGTGTGTTCAAATTAAAAGAAAAACAACAACTGGAGTTGTTTGGCAAATGGAACTTAAGGCTTTTGGATGAAATTCACCCCTTGGACTTTACAATGTTAAAGACGGATAGAAAACAAAATCTAACCTCAAAAAATGTTGTGATGCATATAAGCTGTTGTGGGCCTCAATTCTTTGGAGATCAAGCTTCTAAAGGACTTTTTTAGGCCATGCATGTTTTCCTATTCGAAAGAGATATGCAATAGTTGTTATTTCACTCATTTTAATCCAGAGTGCAGCCACACATTTTCATTTCCAACCGCTCTTCTTAATAAGCATCCCACGCCAGAACCAGAAGACTAATTTGAGCTGAGGGAGAACTTTTTTTCTGAAAGTAGTACACTCAAACATAAATTTATTTCTTCCATTGTGATTTTTACAAGAAAAAGTATTTATATAATTATATTAAGCAGATTCCTACTCCGTATATTAATTACCAGAAGTATTGCCATCTCATTTTTTTACCAACAAAGATAACCTTCTCACAGGTGCTTAGAAGATGGCATTCCCACATAATGTGGCGAACTCTCAAATCGCAAAAGTAAATATCTTTGTCCCTTCGGAATTGAGTTTTTTGCATTCCACCAATCTATAGTCAGTTCTACTTACTGAAACACAAGACTACTGTAAACGCTAAGCATATTCATTCCTGATTTCAACTGGAATATCAGCAAAATTGTTCAGGAATATACTACTCAGTACGATTTGGAGTTAAAACGCAGATACCTACCGTCCCCATTATCCATTTTTAGTTGGGGTAGATCAGAAGGTACCCTATTGAGCTCCGTCAATTCAGCAGACAACGCCTTATCTTCATAGTGCAACGGCCGATCAAAATTCGCGTCCCCGTCCATCCACTCGTTCGAAAGACGCGTGTTAGGCATCGAAGATGAAACTCCGTATTTCTTCAACACCTTATCGCCGCAGTGGTAACCATCACCATTCTGAGAAGCTGTATTCGATAAATCATTATGGCTCCTGATATTCCTACCACGGACAACATCGCGTTCCTCTTCTTTATCAGAACCAGATTCCTGAACAGATGCAGGGGATGGGAACGGAGGCTGGCCGCGGAGGAGGTTGATTATGCGATCGAGAGCTTGGTCGACGCTGCGCTTGTGGATGTAGAAGGCGGAGATCGCCATTACCGACGCGCCGAAGAACGCTGCAAGAGCTAAGTGCACTTTTGAAGCGGGTGCCGGAGAAGATGACGTGAATGAAAACGACGAAGCGTCCATCTCTGATCTCTCTGCGCGCCGTTCTCGACAGTGTAGTGACTCGAGTGAGATGGTTGCGAGCTCCTGATGAGTCCTGCCTGATATATTCACTCAAAACTGTCACAGATGGGTTTAGCGAGGTTTTGGTATAGGCGGTTGTTGTTGCACAGAATTACTTGTGGAACTTGTGTGATTTAAATAACTAAAACTTTATATAAAAAAATATTTTAGCACTATTATTTCTTTCAAAAATATTACGGGGTAATTTTTTATTTTATTCCATATTTTGATACGGAGTAAGTTTTAGCATTCATAAAGATGCAATTAACATTCTAAGCTTTCATAGTAAAATAAATAGTATTATCCACCACTGTATATAATTCTAATGTTTTCAATTTGTTATTTTAAATTATACATTTAACATCATAAATTTACATTTTTGGAAGAAATAATACATAACCATGGTATTAAAATAATTTTTTATATAAATTTTAGGGTATTTAAATTATATATGAAAGTTCGGGGTATTTTAAATTGTTTTCCCCTAGAAAAAATGGCTTATGTATCACTACTAGAGTTATTAAAGACGAAAATGTGAGTAGAATCCTACTTGGATAAAAATATGACTTAAAATTATGCATTGACTTTAATGCCCATGCAGCCCTAATTCTTTCCTTCTTTTATCTCTCACCAATGTGTCGTTCTCAATGCCTTCTTCCAACAGCCGCAGGCAGTGCAGGTCATCACCTTCTCCATGCCGCCGACAAGCCCACCATCTTCACGTCGTCGTCTCCACGCCGCACTTACATCGCAGGTATTTCACTCTTCTATTTTCATCTCTCTTCTTCTTTGATGGCGGCGGCCTGGTGATGGTGGAGCTCTGACGATGGAGAGCGAGGATTGCATCATCTATTATGACGGCATGTGATGAGGGCGATTAAGAATGGATATTATCAATTTCTGGCAACAATAGGCATCATTGGCGCTAGGGTTCAGGTCTGGTAGTCGGACGCGATTGGAGACCCATATTCCGTCTCGTCGCAATGTTGTCGTCATTGTAGGGGTGGCTCAGAGGTGTGCTAGGGATGCGACGTGCTGCATCTGCTCTGAACATGTGGGAAGCCGGGGAGGGATGCGATGAGGGGGTGGGGCAGTGACTGTGTAAGGGATGGGCTGGGGAGTTGAGAGAGAGTGTTGGGCAAGGGCGGTGGTGGACGGCTACCGTTGCTGGAGTAGCAGAGACCGACGATGAAAGTGGGGCTAGGGACTGGGGGCTGGGGCATGCGAGAAAAGGGGTTGGGGTTGGAGAGGGGGGCTGGCGGTGGTGGTCGGGGGTATTTAGCAGGGGCCGACAATGAAACTAGGGCTGGGGTTGGGGTAGCCAGGAGAGGGGGTGTTGATGTTTGAGAGGGGCTGACGGTAAATGGTTGGGTGACCGGTGGTCACTTTAGCGGGTGGCTGGAGTCACTGTGACCGGAGTCACTCTAGTGGGCGTCATGGATGAGGGCGGTAGCAGTCACCGATCGGGTGCGACGGTAATCACTGTGGTGGAGGAGTCACTATGGTGGAGGAGTCATTGTGACGGCGGAGTCACTGTGACGGCGGAGTCACTGTGACGGCGGAGTCACTGTGACGGCGGAGTCACTGTGACGGCGGAGTCACTGTGACAGCCGAGTCACTGTGGTGGCGGAGTCATTGTGGCACAGAGTCACTGTGGTCGGAGTCACTATGTACTGCAGAGTTTAGTTGTGCAGGTCACGTTTTGGGAAATTTTAAAAAAGAGATAACTTTTTGTCTTTTACCCTGTTTTTCGTAATATCGAGGCCAAAAGGCCTATATCATAGTGCTAGCATTTTAAACCGAAAAACTGAAAACCGAACCGAAAATAACCAAACTGCGTTGAAAGAAAACCGAACCGGGCTAAACCGATAAATTTTGGGACCCGAAAATCGGGACCCGACAAAAAATTATTTCGGAATCGGTTTATATATACAAAATATCGATTTGAACCGAAGCGATTTTTATTAGGGGTTTGTCCCTAAATATTACTAAATTGAAGGCAGTTTCAAAAAATGTGACTACTTTTAAATATGGACAAAAATGTGAGTAAGAAGGTCATATTTTTGGAAAAATATGATGTCACTGCAACATTTTTATGTCACTGTGATCTTTGTATGTCACTATGAATTGTCACTGTCAGATTTTTATGTCACTTACGTATGTCATTGTCCCGTTAATCGTGTCAGTGTCCCGCGTTAATCATGTCATTATGCGACCGGAAAAGTTTCTAGTAGCAATTTTCGGTGAAAATCTTATGTGTTCTCCGCTCAGTGAACTGATGCCATGCTGCCTGCAACACCGCAACCTACTGCCCTTACCCCATCCACCAGCCCCCTCCCCCACCCACCAGCCCCCTCCCCAGCCCCTCCCCAACCCACTAGCCCCCTCCCAACCCACCTGACCCCCTCCCCAACGAACCAGCCCCCATCCCAACCCCCTCACCAGCCCACCAGCCCCCTCCCCATCCATCCAAGCCCCATCCCCAGACCATCATCTCCCTCCCCGCCCACCTGCCCCCATCCCCTGCACAATCACGTTGCAGCCCAGTGACGGATGCTGCTGCACCAACCCCCTACCCTGCCTCAGCCTCTGTCCCCAGCACCTCTCTTATGGTCAGCCGTCAGGGATGCTCCAGACCCAACAAAGAAGACGACATATCCATTCCAGAAAAGAAACAAGAAGAAGATGATAGATCTGCAGTTGTTGGCGACGGTGGAGACTGCAGCTAGTTGGCGACCGCGGAGACGCAGTGGTTGGGCGACGGCGGCGTTGCAGTAGCTCGGCGATTGTGGAGGCGTGGAGCTTTGGTTCACACTTCGCAGGTCTCGGGTTGCAAGACGGGGAAATAGCGGAGCAGGGCTGTGGTCACTTTTTGGGAACTTTTAAAAATGGTCATATTTTGGTCTAGCAGAAACTGAGAAGTAATATTGGTGCCATATTAATAATAATTATAATTTTTTAGTATTATTAATATTTACAGTTAATGACGTGTAGAGAAGGTATAATAAAAGTCGGAGTACCTTACAAATGTATGGAAGCTTTGGTAGGATGGGTTGTGCACGTACGGTGTAAGTTTGCTAGGCATCAAGAGTTCGATTCCCATTCATGTCTGTTTAGTTCAGTTTTAGGTTTCACTTTTCTCTCTCATCCTACTTTGTCCCACACCGGAAAAAAAAGTACTCCGCATACTTGTCCTCCCAGACATCTATATAAGAAGGCATAGCTCACAAACAAAATTGTGACCGATTAAGGTTACCTACTAGGCTAGTACTCAAGTTGAGTAGTTGAGTGATCCTTAATGGGCTCAAAATCTTTCAAGCAAGGTGTATTGGGCTTGAACCATTGAATTGTAGTTCAATTTTCTTTTATTTTCTTTTATTTTAATGCAAGAGTCGTTTTATTTTTGTTTTTTTTATGAACCGACCTGGAAAATTGGTTTCCAATAAATCGGTACCCGATAATTATCCAGAAACTAACACCACTAAAAAGTGGCCATCTCCCTTCGTTTCGGGTTTTGAGCTTCTCCGCTTCGTCTCCTTCGGCGAAGAGCGGCAGTCCAAGTGTGCAAGCATCATCGGGCTTCAGGTCGAGACCAAGGGTTGTTCTTCTTTGGTCGAGCAGGGTTGTTTTGAGTAGAAACGGTTGGAGGACATTGTCAATCAGGTTTCTCCCTTCCGCCGTTCTGTGCGGTTCAATTCCCAATCGATGAGGGCGGCTTCCAAGACATCGAATGTGAACAAGGTGATGACAAGAGAGCAGCGGCAAACAGGAGGGATAATCAGGAAGGGTAGATTCTTTGTCAGAGATTGTTGGGCAGTGGGCATGACGGATGGGAGACAAGGCAAGAGGAATCTACTCTGATTGGTTGATGCTTCGATCCATTCCGCGTCAACAATCATAGCGTTGATCCGGCCTCCTCCTGAGCCACCGCCATCTGGAATTGTTAGGGTACAGCTGAATTTCCACTGTTTTATTTTCTTTTTTGCTATTTGCTTTGATCAGACTGGTTTCGTTGTTGTCATTTACTTTTATTTTGGTCAGACTCTTGCATTAGGTTTGGGCGATGAGTGGTCTATTTTAACCGCGTTAGGCTCATTTAGACCCATTATAGGATCAGCAAGTCATATTGCTTTTTACAGGGTGATTGGCTCTAAGTCTGGTTCGAGGGTCGGTGATTGTAAGTGGTCCTTTTATCTTCTTGTTCCCTTGTTGAATATTGCGATATCAATTTAAGCCACCTTTTCTCAAAAAAAAATCGGTACCCGTTCCACTAGCGGTTTGGTCCTGAATCCAGCCCTGGTATATCATCAACTCTTTTTTCTATGATAAATAAATGGGCTTTTATAAATATAGAGAAAGCATGGAGGACAATATTCAAAGATTTATTACAAATCCAATAGTACACTACAAAAAAATTACGGGATTGGCATGGAATTTGGCACAAATTTATCGACTTTTCGTGCCAAATAGCTCGTGCCAAATAGCTCGTGCCTAAGTGTTTTTGGCACGGATTTGGCATATTCCTGCCAAAATTCCTGCCAAATCTCTGCCAAAATCCATGTCAATCCCGTGTAATTTTGTAGTGGTAATTACTATGAATAGACAGCCGTCTTACAAAGCAACATGACTCACCAAATACAAAATGGACAAGATTAAACCTAAAATGTCTGAAAATGAAGCATTGCCAATCAAAAGTTTTTCAAATTTCAAAATACATACTTCAATCATACCTGCTAAAATTAAAATATAAATAAGTACCACTAAAGGAAAAATCATACGAAGTACATAATTAAAAACTTTCCACAAACTGCTTCCTAACACGGAGGTGGTTCCGGAGGAGAACGAGTTACTGTAGTATGGGTGAAAGCTAAATTTGTCTTCCAAATTTCTTTTTCGGTGAAGAGAATTCCGATCTCCAGAAAATTAGTCTGAAACCATACTCGCTCTGCACCATTGCTCGACTCTTCGAGCAAAAGACCCTCATCTCCGTCCTCAATGGTCAACCTGTAGTACTGCTTCTCAAGTCTGTCTGCGAGCTCGCTGCCCTGGTTCAGCGTTCTGGTCTACGGAACCTAGTAATTGAACAAACTGCGGAACCCAATGGAAAAATCAAACCTTAGATAACCCTAGGAAGAGATTGTCGCTCTTCACAGACCTTTCATTCCTCTTGAGACTTCCTCTATCTAACCACGGAACCCTCTCACAAGTTTCATATAATCAACTCTTATATAATCCACTTTTGAATAAATTTTATATGTATATTTTCATCATCTAGATGCGAATGCATTTTGTAAAGTGGTACATTTGCGTTGTTATTCCCTTTTATAGTTAAATTAATTACAGTACATTACAACATATCATCTCCTTGTCTCCTTGTACATTTATTCCATAGGTACTCATAATTCATCTATGCATTTTACACTTTTGCACCATCATCAATATGAACTTTACTCTTGTATACATATCTCCGAGCAATATACACAAAATGCACCAAACTGACCCCACCCAAAGCTGCAATAACAAAATAGTAATTATCCACTCTACCGGCATTAATGTCCTCAGTCAACCAGTCTGCACGCCCGCCCACGGCCGTGGTTCTGTGCACCACGTTCACCAACATGCTACTCACGTATGCTCCTATTCCCCACGTAACGGAAGTCAAAGAATTGCCCACACTCATCAAATTCTCAGGGAACTCCTTGTTGTAGAACTCTATCTGGCCGATGAAGCCAAACGCCTCAGCAAGACCCATCATTATGAGTTGTGGGAACAACCAGACTATGGAAATTGGCGGGCCACCACTTATGGCAGTGGCCCGTCTTTTCGTCTCGACAAATCCAGAAACCACCATGGCTATACTGGATAGACCAAGACCGATACCTATCCTTTGTAGCATTGTGATGCCGCCCTCTTTCCCTGTCCATTTTCGGAGGTGGGGAACGAGGACATGGTCATAAACGGGTACCCATAGGGCGATGGAGACGAGGGAGACGACGAAGATGGATCCGGCCGGAATTTGGAAATGCGGGCCGAGATGGCGGTCCATGTGTAGGGCTTGGGAGACTGTGAATGTCCCCTGTTGCATTATGGCCAGTGAGCATATGATTGTGGCTGGCCAAATTGGGATTACTTTAAGGATGCATTTCACTTCTTCCATTTGTTGAATACTAGTGAGCCTCCATGGGTTTGTGCATTTCCCGTTATCGGAATTTATGTCTCCATCCGTCACTACTGCAGCTTTGTTTAAGAACCTGGCCATCATATATTTTTAAGTTTTGATTAAAAAATTAATAAGATGGAAATCTATATCTGTCTTTTGGGACTGAAATGCATAAATGACACCTTAACTATTGGTATTGTTGCGTTTTGGTATCTCAACTTGTAAATGAATCAAATTAGTACCGTAACTATACATAAACGTTTCAACTTGCAATTTTATTCAATTTTTTTTAGCAAAATACCATACGTGGCGGCCGAAGTTCTATGCGTAGTGTCTAATTCACCTTCGTTTTTCCCATGTCATCATTGTATGGTGAGTTGGTGACTCTACACATGGAATTTTAATCGTCATGTACGATTTTTTGCTGTAAATTTGAATAAAATTGCAAGTTGAAACATGTATATATGTATAGTTATAGTATTAATCTAATTCATTTAAGAATTAAGGAACTAACACAATATCAATAGTTAAGGTATCATTTATACATTTCACACTCATCTTTTGATTACAAGATGTATCATTTTTATACAAGTAAATGATATTTCCACATAGTATTAAGGATGTTTTTACTTAACTGCTTTAAGTCACAAACCAAACCAAACCAGACTTAAACAGACTAGACCAGATCAGACCGGATCAGACTTAAACAGACCAGACCAGACTTAAACAGAGCAGACCAAAACAGAGCAGACTTGACTTCCGTAGTTATAAAACACATAGAGACCAGACGTTTACCAGACCAGACCAGTTCAGACCAGACCAGACTTAAACAGTCCAGACCAGCAAATTGAAGTCGAAGTAAAAAACATCTGAATTACCTGTATTTATGAGTCAAGGGAAGTTTTGTGACGACAGAGCCGGGGAGCGATGGGGGATCATAATAAACAATTCCACTGGCCCCAAATTGATCATCATTGTGAATAAGGTGCACTTTATGACGTTTCCTATAAGCTGCCACGCCAACTCGGGCGATGCTGGAAAATATACTCCCTTCCGGTTTCACATATACGTAGAGTGGCATACCCATGAAGAACATCACAATCCCGCAAAACATAAGCCCTGCTGGGATGCCAAATCCGACCACCCAGCTCACGGAATCTTGAATGTAGACCACCACCGTCAGAGCAATGATCAGCACCGCCGTGAACGAGGTGTAATACCTGTTGGTTATACATAAACCATTTTACATTGAATTGTTGAAATATTTCTCGCGCCGATCGATAAAATATTATCTAATAAACGACTATATTAAGATATCATGGTACTCCTAATATTCATGTTATTAATTTGACCTCATGAAATCCTCATCTTATCATGAATAAATTAGATAGTCATAATAAATAAGGAGTAGTATATTCTTTTAGAAGGTATGCTATGCTCAAGGGCGTATCCTGTGTAGGGACAGTAAGGTAGTTGTGGGACAGATATGCCCTTAGGTCAGGTAGGGCCAAGGCCACCTTGAAATATATAAAGAAATTAGTAATGTACTACCTTCTTCTCGAAATGTTTCGTCAAATTGACTTTTCTTAGTCAATGACAATCAACTTTGACCAATGATATCTTTTAATATGAAATATTTTAGAACATGAAAATTATATCAAAATGTTTCTTATTCAAAATATTTTCATAAAAGTATAAATTTATAAAATGTATATAAATAAAATATTTAAAATCATTGTCCAAAGGTTGTCATCATTGACCAATAAAAGTCAATTTGATGAACCTTTTCGAGACAGAAGTAGTATACTAGTATGTAGAAAGTGACCCCATAATAAATATAAAAAAACCTTATAAATGTCTCTTTATACCTTTCTAATGTGGTTGTGACCTCTTTTAAAAAAAGTAGTAGATAATGAAAACATCCACCACAACTTGAATCATTTGATTTGGATCTTCCAATCAAAAGGTATCACTAAAATGGTGAAATCATTCATCCTAAAATCTCAACAATGATTGTCTATCTCTCGCGTTTGATATCACCTTTGTCCTACCATATTGTAGTCATGATTTATTCACAAGATTTGAAACTACTTGTGTTATCTCTGAATGAGACCTTAATGATTTCATTTGGATTCGTAAACGAAAAGATATGCTTAAATCAGTGACAGAACGCTGTCATAATTCAAAGTTGTGAGTCAGGCGACAGTCCAAATGGCTATTTTTCATGCTCTAACATTCCCTTTTCTTCTTGGAATTCCATATTGAGTTATTTTTCTTCTTAACCTAATAAAATTACTTAAAAAAACTCGAAGACTCATGTAAAATATGATAAATCTAATCATAACAAAATAATGCAAGAAATTACGCTACAAATATGAAAAATTGACTTCCGTCTGATTAGCACTAATATAAGGGAAATTTACCTATGTATTATTGAAACAAGTAAAAGACTAAGCATAGGGAAGTTTGATGATGTTGGTTTTAGTATGCTTATGTTTTTACTTTTTATGTTGTTTTTACCGTATATTATTGTAGTAATTGCACATTTATGGTGCAATCCTTTATTTTCCTAGTTAGAAGATTCTTAACAAAAATCAATCAAAGATGAATCAAATGATCATGAGTGAACTCCAAAAGAGCAAGGAAGCTAGCTAGGTGTAAGAGGACAAGACAAAAGAAGAAATTCCTGATTTGTTCATATACTCGGTCGGGTATATGCAATACTCAATCATCTATGGACTTGACTCGAGTATTAAATCGGATCCAGAGAACAATCAAACATGCAAGGATATTTTTTTATCAAGATTTGCTATTATTACTTTTTCCCTTAGCTTATCTCAATATTAATGTTGGGGTGTTGCTAAGTGATGATTAGTTAACACTCTGACATAAATTTTCTACTAGAAACGATCAATCAACCGATGGTTAATCATTGATATATGGTTTCACAAGTAAGGAACTTTGAATTATAAATACATGGTCTCATGGTTAGTAATCTTAAGAGGAATTAATTGTGTTGATTAGTAACTTGAATTGATTCCATCAATAAGTTAATAGATTAAATACTACTATTAAGTTGTTATATGACGGTGTTATATACTTGGCTAATGGTAACGTTTGTTATCAACAGTCTCGTTATTTATAACCACCCTTGATGAATTAGGGATACTCTACAATTGAGTATTCGAGAGGAGAAAGTTAAAAATATTTCCGGGTTCAACAAACATTTCAATAAGCGGAAAGTAGCAAAATCAAATCCTTATTTCATTGATTTTAAATCACATAATTCGTTCATTTTAGTGTTATAATTTTCTAAAGTTGAAAGAATCTTAAAAAAAACCTTGTTTACAATTTCACAAAGAAAAAATACATTCCATGCGTATAAGAATCTTACTATGCTATACTACAATATTAATGCAAACTATTGATTGTATTTTGAGGCAACTTTAATGTCATCATCGCGTGTTTTAAGTTTTGGCTCCGCCAACTATCATCGTCTTTGTTTGCCCATTTTGTATGCTTTACAATTTGTGTTGGTTGAATGTCAAGCATAAACTATGAATATTATTATTATTACTCCTTCCGTCCCAAATTGATGATTATATACTTTTTAGATTCAAATATTAGGAAAGTGGGGTAGAATGATGACTCTTTTGACCTTACTTTATTGAAGTGTTCATTCCTTTATATTTACTGTTCATAAAAAAGATGGGTATAAATGGTAACCTACTTTAATTTCATAACCAAAAAGAAAAATGAGACTATCATTTTGGGACAACCCAAATAGAAAATACAAGACCATTATTTTGAAACAGATGGAGTACTATTATTACAAGAAGTTAGTTTTAACTAAATAACTCAATTTCGAACAGTAATAATATTTCAGGCGACAAAAAACAGTAATAATATTGCCAATACATTTAGATTTAATTCAAGCACTATCTACGTTATTTAGAAAAATCAGATTTGACATTATAATTTTTAGTTCAAATCCGACCCATCCCCACCTTTTTACCCTAGCTCCGCCCATGGTATGACTTATCTCGTATGGGTTTTGCTTGGTGTACACAAAATGTGTACACTCGTCTGTCTACAGCAGACAAGTTGTCTGTCCACAGACAATTCTGTAGAGTTATCTATGGACAGGCGAGTGTACACAAAAGGTGTACACATTTTGTGTACACCAGACATTTTTCATCTTGTATAGTTGTATTACCATGAATAAGCGTATGCCGCTATATATAGAAGGATCTCCCGATCATATACAGAATAGAAGGGAGAACTACCAAATATGTCTTTGAACTTTCATAAAAAGTGCAAATAAGCCTTTTTATAGGAGGCTCTGTTCGGCCATCGTCATTTGTGACGGTTTCCGGTGGAATTTTTTGATAAGTTTTTTTGAGTATTTTCTTCATTAAGTCTAGTTTATTCAGAGCAAATTTCAGCTAAAAATTCAACCGGAAAGGCAGTCAAATGAATTTTTGAAGATAATTGCGCAATTAGACAGCGCAATATATTTCAGAAAATCATTTGACTGCCTTTTAGATTGATTTTTTAGCTGAAATTTGGTATGGGTACACTAAACTTAATGAAGAAGATGCTCAAAAAATTTCATCAAAAAATTCCACCGGAAATCACTCCAAATGGGGACAGTCGAACAAAGCCTCCTGTAAAAAGGGCTTATTTACACTTTTTATGAAAGTTTGAGGGCTTATTTGATAGTTCTCCCAGAATAGAATAACTACTTACCTAAATTAAATTCATATGTGGTGCAATAATTTAGGAGACCATAATAGTGATAGTAATTAGGCAAATGACAATTTACAGAAAAAAGCACCAACAATGGCATTCCATGAGAAGATTGAGAACAAGATCTCAATCTCATCTGGACTTGTGATTAAATTATGGAAGTCTTTTGTCCAGGAAGGGTTTGCAAATTGTACTTAGGGTTGGGCTTTTTTTATAAAAAACAAAATAGAGGGCAAAGTATGGAATGAGATGGGCAAAAAAATCTAATGTAGTATGACCTATACTCAGGGGCGGAGCCATGGATTGGGTAGGACGGAGTAAGTATCAAAATTATTTATGAAAAAAACATTGTAGAATTTCTTAGCTTAAAATTAAGAAATTTTAAAATTTGGATGGGTTCGGGCCTATGTTGACCCCTCTAGCTCCACCCTCGTTTATACTACTCAATTAGCAGTGGCGGAATCAGGAATTGATGGTTAAGGGGGGCGAGCTTTGACAATTTTACATTGTGGGGGACAAAGTTTAAAATATCAACATATTTTTTGTAGATTCAAAGTATTTATATATAATATATATTTAAGATTTTTTTCTTGCAGGGGCCTTGGGCCAAGGCCCCCTCCAACCTCCCTGTCTCCGCCCCTGTCATTAGCATAAAAAGTTGAGATTTTGGTGACCCCATTATTAACTAGCTATGAATCTATGATATATACTACGTATGACTCAAATCTTAATTCTAGTGTGTACCAGTTAAAGAAGCTATTGATTCCCTTTCTCCCATCTTCCGTAGATGCATCAAATTGGTCAACCCCGAACGGGATGCTGCATGGACTGATCCCTCCACTGCCTATGGATAGGAGGCCGAGCCCAATATAAAGAAAGCCCATTTGAGAACGAGTCGGAGCTTTGCACTGCTGGCCCACTGCAGGAGCAGTTGTACATGGTGAAGGATGCAAATGCGGCAACGATACTATTATGGTCAACGTCAGCATTCCCTAGAGTAATTTAAATGTTTAAAAGTTAAACATTTAGATTTATAAATTACATTTAATGAAATTATACTTTTGATAAAAGTTACCGAGTATATATTTGACTTTATAAGTTAAATTTAACAAATCAATAATTAATCCGAAAAGAAACGTTTTAAATGCATTTATGGGTCAATAAATATAAAAGTTATAGAGTATCAAGCGTCAGTAGTTGTTTTTATCGTAGTTTCATACTTGTTACATACTTTCACATTTTATCAATATGAAGTTGCATCTTTTATTTACGAATGTTGAGTTGTAAGTTATAATGTGTTTTTTGTAAAAATCGTGATCTTTTATTAGTTAAAACTCGCAATTTTCAGCCGAAGATACACTTCTAACGTGATCTTTTACACACACATATATGTATATAGGGTGCGCTTTAAAGAGAGTGATACTTAACGTGAGAATCGTGAAAACACTACTTTTTAGTCTTGGATTTAACACTTTTTCGTGTTGACAAATATTTACAAAACTTTCACTTTATTTGTTTGATGTTGTCATGTTTTGAAAAAGGGTAAGGTACAAATATTATAGTGCATCACATTGAGTTAAAATAGTGTTCTCACGATTGTCACATTAAGCATGATTCTCATTTGTGTGTGTGTGTAGGGATCGGTTCCGGTAAGAACGGACTCACAGAAGAGAAATGAGAATGAATCTTATCCGTTGAATTGTATTATGTGGAACTGAATTGTACATTTGGTAAACTGAAATTGCATCAGATGATATTGAAATGTGCAAAATAAAAATTTAAACTCAAGTACTGTGCATTGGGTGAAACTGAAATGTGTGGAATAAAAGGTACAAAAATAACATCACATCGTACATTTTATTCTGCACATTTCAGTTTCAACTAGTACACATTTCAATTTCACATAATGCATAATTCAACTTCACATAATGTCACTTTATCGTACCCTTTGTGCTGCACATTTCAATTTCGTCTAATAAACATTACATTTTCATCTGATGCACATTGAATTTCACTTAAAGTAAATCTAAGGGTCTAGATTCATTCTCATTTATCTCCTAAGATCATGTTCTTATTTGAACCAAAACCTATATATATATATATATACACACACACATATATATATATATGTATATGTGTGTGTGTGTATATATATATATATAGAGAGAGAGAGAGAGAGAACTTATCCTGTCCGAACGTTCGGACAGGAGGCACGGTCCGAACACCGCTGTTTGGGGCGGTTCCATGTTGAATTTTTTGATGAACTTTTATGGTATGTTCTTCATCAAGTCTAGTTTATCAACAAAAAATTTCAGCTTCAAATTCAATCGGGAAGGCCTTCAAATGATTTTTTGAAGTTGGTTGCACCAAATTATACATATAAAAACGCAGTCAACTTCAAAAAATCATTTGAAGGCCTTGCCGATTGAATTTTGAGCTGATTTTTTGTGTGTATAAATTAGACTTCATGAATAATATACCATAAAAATTTCATCAAAAAATTCCCCCGAGAACCGCCCGAACCGCGGTGTTCAGACGGAGGCTCAGGTCCGAACGTTGGGACCTGATCATTTGTTTGTTTGTTTGTGTGTGTATATATATATTGTTGGAAAAATGTGTTAAAATTGCATTAAATGGTCATTTTGGGGCAATTATTTGAGTGGGGTCCACTTCCGATTTGGGTCGGGTCAAAGTGGTTTCGGATTGTCCTTGTTAAGGGCTACAATTCGATATGTGGTACACTCAAAACGGATAACGGGTGAATGAGAAATTGATTCTCGAAGTTCACTCGTTGAAATGGAAAAACTGGGAAAAATGATGAGTTTCTAGTGTGTTTTATCCCACACCGAAAAACTCAAGGGATTTTCACCCCTTTATAAAGGGAAGCCTCTTTTAAGGAGTTAAGATTCCTAAAGGGAAAGGCTCTCTCTTACGCGCAGGGGGGGTGCCGATCAAATCCCGAAACGGAGAAGAAAAACCGCGACTCGTGTGCGCGGGCGACCCGCGGACACGAATGCCGCAGGTAGCCAACATATATGATTTTTAGCGTGGATAAGTTAACGTATACGTGTGTTAGTCACAAAATTTAGGTTTTAATTAGATTGTTAACGGATAAGTTAACGTATACGTGTGTTAGTCACAAAATTTAGGTTTTAATTAGATTGTTTATCTCTTTTTCACGCTAAATATTTCATTCATGATTTTAAAATATATTATTACCTCCGCAGCTTAAAAAACTTACGATAATTGTCATAAATAGAATTAAACAACTTTGAACATTTCAAGATATGACTAGTATGTTTTTTCCCAAAATATGAGTCGTTACTGTTATGATTCAAAAACATTGCTCATGATTAAAAAATAATCTCATTAATTATAATAATCTCATTATTTGATAGTAATGACTAAAAGATGACAGTAAATACTACCATCTTACTCTTATTTCGGGAAGAAAAATATAGTAGTCATATTTTGAAATTTCAAACCTTATTTTGAGAAATCTCTCAAAAACTTACTAGTTTGAACATCACATAAGGAAACAAAACTGTTTCTTTTAACGTATTGAAATACAATTTTGTTGTACAATACACACTATTTTGACACTAAAATCTTTAACGCTGTTAAACAATACGAAGTATAAAAGTATCATATATAATTAAGAGTAGTAGAGTAATTTATCATATAAGAAAATATGAATTTATTGAGAGTCATCCCAAAAAAGTAAAGCAAGAGATTTGTTTAGTGACAGAAGCATTTAATGCAAATAAAAGACAATATGCATCATAATATAGAAGCATTTTAGTTCAAATGTTTTTACTTGGATTGTTTTCAAATCAAATCTGATCAAATTATACCAGATCAAACTAAATTTGGATAGTTTTAACATAGACATAGACTAAACGTTTACAAGATGAGACCAGCAAATTCAGTTCAACTAAAAACTTCCTTACGCACTGAACCTTTTTCTTAAAAGAAAGTGATGTACCAAAATTTGAGCCACGGAGGAGAAAGCAATGGTCCAAAATTTGCCAACATAAGCATCAGAGATGAAGGCACCCAACAAGGGGGCGAAGTTGGAAAGGCTTGACCAAATATTCATCAAATTGGAAGCTGAAACTTGATCTAGGTGATATACTGTCAACAAGAACACTGTGAAGTTCGCCATCAACCCACTTGATGACAGCCTTTCAAACGTCTCATTACCTAAAAATTAATGAAATACAAAATTAAAAGCCACACACACAAAAAATGTGTTTGACAAATTAAAGATGTTTGTAATTAAACTGATTTTTTTAGTTAGAGTCAAATCTGTTTCAGTCCGATTTTAACTACCTTGTTTTGGCCTAGTATGATCTGGTCTATTTAAGTGTGGTATGTATGTTCCTATCTGGTCTGGTCTAGGACTGAAATAAGTCCAAATACAAATTTTCTAAAAGAAGAATTAATGAGTAGAAGAAATAAAAGGAATATTATAATATTTTATTAAGTTCAAAGTATTGCATATTATTGAGTTTGTAGGTTAGTAAATTAAACATGGTTTGTATGTGATTTCACTATAGAGTTTTTTCCACTTTTAGTCCTCCGACTATTATGTCATTGACACTTTTGGTATTTGACTTTGATTTTTTTCAAATTTAGTCCTTACTATTGCGCTAGAGACACTTTTGATACCCGTCTTTGAAAATTTCCATATTTAGTCATTCAACTTTCATAATAGTGACACTTTTGACCCTTCAACTATTATAATAGTGACATTTTTAGTCATCTACTTATTGTGTCAAAATCATAATGGGGGGACTAAAAGTGTCGATTTGACAATACTTAGGGACTAAATGTGGGAAATCTTGAAGTCGAAGACTAAAAGTGTCTCTAGCACTATAGTCGAGGACTAAAAATGGAAAAATTAAAAGTCGAGTACCAAAAGTGTCATTGACATAATAGTCGGGGGACCAGAAATGGAAAAAACTCTTTCACTATATATATATATATATATATATATATATATATATATATATATATATATATATATATATATATATATATATATATATATATATATATATATATATATATATATATATATATATATATATATATCCTATATATAGGGTATGGATCAAATAAAAACCATTCTTATCGTGAAAACTGCAAACTATCCACTTTTTCCACAGTGTGATGCACTATTACGTTTCTGTGTTGCACTTTTCCGCATTGACAGAAATATTTGACTTATTTACAAAAATGCCTCCGGATTTTTCTTGTTTAGCATGGTTCGACTGAAATTCAAAAAGTGCAACAGATCACCCTTAAAGTGAATCACATTCGGATAAAAGTGAACGGTTTTCAGTTTTCACGTTAAGAAAGGTTAAGAAAAGTTTCATTATATATATATATATATATATATATATATATATATATATATATATATATATATATATCCGAATTATATATAGGGAGTGGTTCCGGTAAGAACGGATCTTAGGAGAGAAATGAGAACGAATCTGGACCGTTGGATTGAATTATGTGGAACTGAATTGTGCATTTGGTGAAACCAAAACGTGCATTAGATGATATTGAAATGTGCAGAATTAAAATTTAAACTCACATGTGCATTATGTGAAACTGAATGTGCAGAATAAAAGGTACAATACCTTTTATTCTGCACATTTTAGTTTAATCCAGTGCACATTTCAAATTCGCCTAATGCACAATTTAGCTTCACATAATGCCACTACATTGTACCATTTGTGCTGCACATTTCAATTTCACCTAATACACATTACAGCTTCATCTAATGCACATTGAATTTCACATAAAGCAAATCTAACGGTCCAGATTCATTCTCATTTTTCTCATAAGATCATGTTCTTATTTGAACCTAAACATATATATATATGTATATATATATATATATGTATATATATATATGTATATATATATGTATATATATATATGTGTATATATATATATGTATATATATATATATATGTATATATATATATATATCCTAAATATATATATATCCTAAATATGTGATTTCACCAGATTCGTTCTTATTTTTCACCTAAGATCCGTTCTTACCGGAATCGCTCCATATATATGAGGTTTTTTGACCCTTCAAACCGGAACTGCTCAAATTGAAATTATAAATATTCTTGTCCGGCCAAGCTGGTGAGGAGGGTGGTCCGGCCACCTCAATTTGAGGTGTTTCCTAGTGATATGTTTGGCTGAATTTTTTGTGTATGTTCTTCACCAAATCTAGTTCATTCATACCAAATTTGAGCGAAATTCAATCGAGAAGGTCGTCAAATGATTTTTGAAAAATAACTGCGTTTTTATGTATATTTCGGCGCAGTTATCTTTCAAAAATCATTTGACGATCTTTCTGATTGAATTTTTTTTCAAAGTTGGTATGGATGAACTAGACGTAATCAAGAACGTAACATATACAAAAAAATTCAACCAAAAATACAACCGGGAACCAGCTCAAATTGAGGTGGCCGGACCACACTCCTGTCCGGCCTAACCGGACAGGAATACTACTCTCTCTCTCTCTCTCTATATATATATATATATGTATCTGTATATATATATATATATATATATATATCATTATAACATGCATATACCCCTCAATATTCTCCGATCAACATAAAGTCTTCTTAAGTTTTTACTTTATATATCCAAATTTTATCAAATTGAAGTTATTTTGCGACTTTCTAAATCTTTTAGAGCCCGTTTGGTAGCATGAAAATCGGCTGATTTGGTTGGTTCTGCTGAAATTTATGAAGTTGTGACTGAAGTGGTTGTATTGGCTGATTTAAGAAAAAAAATATTTTTAAAATATATGTTATTAATAGAATAAAGAAAAATATATATGAAAAGACAGCTAAAATGATCATCTACAGTAACTTCAGCCAATACAGCCAAAAAAGTAACTTCAACCTTACTTTTTCCGCTTATTACACAATTTAGCGCGCGAAAATAAAAGTTCAGTGTTTGAAGGAAATGTTGGCTGATAGGTCTTGTAAGCCGAAAAACAGTGTTGCCAATATTATCTCCTCCTTCCCTTTTTGGTAAAGAATTTGTGGTTCACAATCATTCTTACACATTCTTACACATTCTTACACATTTCTCTCCTCTGCACAACTCTTCACCACACAAAACTCACTATCTTAATTAGTGTGCCCGACCGAAATGGGAGAAAAAACAGGGACGGAGGGAGTACATCTTCTACGTAGCTTAAGAAACCCACTATTCGCGGAGACACCGAATTATTCCCTCCGTCCCAAAAAGGTTCACCAAATTGATTTTTCTTGGTCAATCAGTCAATGGCAATCAACTTTGACAAATGATATTTTTCAATACAAAATTACTATGAATATGAAAATTCATTATCCATATTCCTTATTCGAAATATTTCCATAAAAATATAAAATTTATAAACTACTCCGTATATGCATATACTCCCTCTGTCCCGAAAAGGTTTGCCAAATTGACTTTTCTTAGTCAATGACAATCAACTTTGACCAATGATATAATTTAATACGAAATTATTTAGAATTTGAAAATTATATCAAAATATTCTTTATTGAAAATGTTTTCATAAAAGTATAAAATTTATAAATTATATACAAATATAATAACTAAAATCATTGCTCAAAGTTTGCCATCATTGACCAAGAAAAGACAATTTGACAAACCTTTTCGGGACGGAGGTAGTATAATAATTACAATCATTATCCAAAGTTTGTCATCATTGATAAAGAAAAGTCAATATGACAAATCTTTTCGACGGAGGTAATATAAGAGTAGCAAGTATAATTGGTCTCCGTTATGAGACTGCAATTTCATTTTTGTTTTTATGTTGTGAATTGGGCTGATTTTTTTAATATATGTAACGCTCTTCGTTTCATAGTTATTTGACTATTTTTGCTGAAACTTATGAAGATTTGGTTGAAGTAACTACATTGGCTGATTCTGTTGATTAATGAAAAAATTACACTTAAAATATATTTTATTAATAAAATAAAGAAATAAAAATATGAAAAATAGCTAAAATGATCTTCTACAATAACTTAAGCCAATGCAGTCAGAAAAGTAACTTCAACGTTAATTTTTCTTATTATTGCACAACTCAGCGCGAAAAATAAAAAGTCACGTGTTTGATGAAAACGTTAGCCGATAAGCCTAATAAGCCAGAAATAAGGGTCACCAAACCGTCTCTAAAGATGTTTTTACTTGGACTGTAATTTGCTGGTCTAGTCTGGTCTGGTCTGGTTTCTTTGTATTTTTATAACTATCCAAGTCTGATCAGGTTTGAACTAGTCTGGTCTGAGAGGAATTACAGTCCAAGTAAAAACATTTTAATGGACCTAAGTATTCTAGCATCTATGTTTTATAAATTGGATTAAGAAGCGATACGATCAAGTGATTTGGCCGGTAAACCCGGTTGCTACCGGGTCGTGGAGACATTAATATAATTTCAATATTCAGAAATTGCTCTAAATATGATTAACTTTACTGGTTTCCATTTCAAATAAAAAATTGTGATTTCCGTTAATTCTTTCTCATATGCACACACATCAACTGCACCATTTTTATTTTATTAATCTTCATGCCGATCAAACTTGATCTAGTTTTAAAAGACAATGGGAGTATATTTTAGAATAATAATTTGATTTCTATATTGATCGGGTTGAACCCGTCGGGTCTAGATTGACCCCTGACCCAGTCATTCGACCAGGTCGTTTTCGGTCCGATTTTTACAACATAGATTTTTGAAAAAAGTGTCAAATAAATCCCCCTATTATTACAAAAATGCCAATTAAGTTCACCAATTCGCTTTTAATAAGTAATCAACTGATCTTTCCAAAAAAAAACTACTCTCTCTGTCCCGGAATTATCTTTTTTCTTTCCTTTTCAGTCCGTCCCAAATTTATCTCCTTTTTCCCTTTTTGGTAAAGAATATGTGATTCACAATCATTCTTACACATTTCTCTCTCCTCTGCATAACTTTCCACCACACAAATCTCACTATCTTAAAAGCCGTGTCCGGTCAAAACCGGAGTTAAATATGGGACGGAGGGAGTAGGTAATTAACCGGTCACGACACGTGTAATCCCCCTTCCTTTTCTTTTTCTTTCTTCTTCCCTTCCTCCTTCCTCCCTCTTCCGTTATTTCTTCGCCCTGTTGGTTAGTACGTTGCTCCCTGCCTCCATCCCCGTTTCCTATTTTCTTTTGTTATCATTCTTAATCCCTCCCACTTTGGCTTAATCACACCCCAAGCTACCCATTTTTCTCACTTTTATTTGAATTGGATTTTGACATACCGTCCAATCCATGGATTAACAAAAAAAAAAGAACAATAAGAACGATAAATAAAATGATAAATTGATGGAGAAGATCGGCACTTCATGAGACGGAACGTTGATAAGAGAGGACGACAACGTTCGCTGAAGATGACCGGTGCTCTCTTTGCCGGAAATTGGCCGGAGAAGACGACCGGCGCTCGACCCAACTTCTATGGCTTTGCCGGAGGTTGGTCAGGGGAAGAAGACTGTCGCCCGGATCTAACTGGTGGTTGTAAAATAAAGAAGAAAAAAAAGAAGGAAAGTTAAAGAAGGGAAAGAAGGGAAAGTAAGAAAGAAAGGCGCAGAACAGGGGAGTGATGGAGAAATCCGAGAAGAAAAAGCACAAGGAAAAAAGAGGAGAAAATACAAAAAATTGAATGACACGTCACATGCCTTAACCTGGAACCGGAATGTTACCGGCTAAAAAGCCACTTTGATTATTTGTAGGTGAAAACTCCGGTACCCATTTAAAAAAATGGGGTATCATACATACCATTCATTTGATTGGTCCAAATAGGTATATCATTTTAATTTAGAATTAAATAATTCAACTGCAACACTTTCATTGGTCCATGTGGACAAATGTATGGTACCTTATGGGTACCATATAATCTACTTTATTTTTAAAGTGTTTGTGGGTGTAATTGGGTGATATTTGAGTTGATGTTGTTAATTGACATTTTTGTACTACCTCCATCCCAGAAATATCTCGTTATTTGATTGGACACGAGTTTTAAAATAGTGAGAAATGTGTGGTGAAGAGTTGTGTAAAGGAAAGAGAAATGTGTAAGTGTGGTTGTGAATCACAAATTCTTTGCCAAAAAAAGAAAAAAGAGATAAATTTGGGACGAACCGAAGTAAAAAGAATGAAGATAATTCCGGGAGGGGTAGTAATAGTGGGGCTTATTTGAACTTTGATCGATGAAAACATGACGAATTGCAGGCCATGAATCAGACCAAAGATGAATCTGTCAAATTGTCTTCCTAATACACCGTACATAACAAGCGACAAGTAAATTCCATCGGAAAGATAAATTTAAGGAAGTAACACTATATTGTGTACTGAATGTCTGAAAATAGAATTTTATCTAACGTTATTACGGAGTATAATACTACGTACTTCGTACGGAGTATTATATTACTCACCCAAAACCCATTTAATCATAGATACGCAATACTCCTAGTTAGTTTGCTGAGTAAATCCGATATTCCATTTTACTTAAGATACTGAATCTGTTACTACAAAAAAAACTACAAGGTTGACAGAGATTTTGGCAGAGAAATGTCAAATTCATGCAAAAAACATTTTGACACGAACTATTTGACATGAAAAATCGATAAGTCCGTGTCAAATTTCGTGTCAATCACGTAATTTTTTTGTAGTGTGTTTAGGATTTAAATTTATCGACACTCCAAATTAATTTAATACTATCACAACATATTGAATTTTACACTGTTCACATGCTCTACTTTGACTACATTTTATGCTATTATTTTATGAAAATTATTTAAAAAAAAATTGTTCAATTCATCTAATTACAAATATTCAAAATCTGATTTTTAATATTTTTTGTACTAATAGAATTAAGATATAATTACGATTAAAGACGTGAGTTGACAAATGTGAAATGTTGACCGTTGTAACTAAAAAAGAACGAAAAAAGTATAAATTAAGTTGATCAAAATATATCAGGTACAAATCTAGCTAAGACAAGGAAAATAAATACTGGTAAATTAGAGGAAGAGAAAAAACACACCTAGGACAAAGGGCATGGTTTTCCATCCGCCTGGTTTTCTTTGGGCAGCCATCTTCTTGTCGGCGCTGGACAGAGCTTCCGGCGATGAAGACGTTGAGGAAGATGAGATCGATACCCATTTCTTAATACAGAGATAATCAATCAAGTTTAGTTTCTTCTTCTTACCCTCTATTTCCATTTCCATTTTAAAGTTGCTTCAATGCACACAATTGATCAGTGTATTTATTGACTGAGATTGGAAAAGGAGACTGTTTTTTATGGTGGAAAAAGAGACTGTTACATTATTATAATGTGACAACCGAAGTGAATAGTGGAAATTATTAGAGAGCAATTATTATACGGTGATTATCTTTTACTAGCTTGCCCTAAATTTGCTCCTGAAAATATTAGTATAATTTGTCGATTTATCGTGAACAAATTCAATAAAATTATAAAAATTGCGCTAAATAAGAATAAATACGTAAATTTGAAAATAATTTTTTTTGTTATGTTAGAGTGACAGAAAGTTACTCCTATTTATACAAAAAACACAACACTTTTATTTTGAAATTTCACACTATTTTTAGAGCCCGTTTGATGATTATGTTTTTCGGCCTAACAAACTACTTTTTAATTAAACACATAAGTTTTGATTTTGCGCGTTGAAATGTGTAACAATAAGAAAATGTAAGGTTGAAGTTATTTTTCTGGTTGGATTGAATGAAGTTACTGTAGATGCCGGGTTTTTATTTCATTAAGACAATTTTGTCTAATCACTAATAGAGTCTTATTTAAAGAATAATAATCTCAAGAGAAAATGGAAACTAATAATCCAACCTTTTAGCGATCTTCTTACAATAGTCTCATCTTTTCATTATTCATGAATAATCCAACCTTTGCACTCCATCTTCATTCACTGGTCCCTGACCGATTTATGACCTGTTATTCCAAGTTATCTTCTTATATTTGTAAAACAATATACCATAATTCTCATCTTATGATCACATAATATTTTGAAAGGGTTAGATTATTCATGAATAATGAGAAGGTGAGACTATTGTAAGAAGAACGCTAAAAGTTTGAATGATTAGTTTCTATTTTCCCTAAACTTAATGTCCTATTTATATGAATTTACTATGTACTACGTATGTTTTAGTCTATTATTGGACGCGGATCAGGGTCGTTGATCTTTCTGCAAATTAATCGAGGCCTTTTTAAAATCTAGAAGTACAATCATGTATTCATGTACCATTTGAAAATGCAAATTAATGTCCAATCGATGAGTAGGCCCCCTCTCCTCCTAGAAGGCTGATAGCAACCTTCACGTTGAAAATGAGGTACTTTTCACGACTTATTTATAAATGTAGGGACCAAACTTTATTTACTTTCTCGTTTTGGACTTTTGGCCTTTTAAAATGTTTTTACTTGGATCGTAATTTGTTGGTTTGATCTGTTTTTTTTTATTTTTATAACTATCCAAATCTGGTCCGGTCTGCTCTGATCTGGTCTGGTCTGGTCTGGTCTGGTCTGGGAGGAATTACAGTCCAAGTAAAAACATCTTTGGTAGTGAGTACTCCCTCCCTCCCATAGGGTTAGGTCCTGGGTTCGAATCCCGACAACTGTGATGAGAGGTTACTATGCTAAAAATGCATAGGACTTCTGCAAGTATTGGGGACAAAGCTTCACTCTCTATCTGTTAGAATGAGATTATAGTTCAAATTACATCCTAACAACGTACCGTCCGGTCGGGGTTGGGGGGCCCTCAAGGATGGGGTGTCATCCTTTTTTTCCATAGAACTTTGCCAATTTTCAATTTTTGGTTATCCCAAAAAACTTTGCTAATTTTCTATTAAAACAATTAATTTGTGGTTCTGCACATTCCTCTCTCCTCTGCACAAATCTCAATCACACAGTTTTTACTATTCTTATTTTACACCTACTTTACATTTGGCAAAGTCACCGGGACGGAGGAAGTATTAAATTTCATTTGTAAATATCTATACAAATAAAAAATGTCTGTATGTATGAGTAGCAAGTATAGGAATTGAACGAGGTTTAATATGCACACATTTTAATCGGTAATGTGAATGAAAAAATTGTCAAAATTCGTTGGAAAAAACGTTAACTTTTAAAAAACGTGTAAATATGTATACGTGTATAATACGATATCTCTTACAAAAATTCGGACAAAATAAGATACAGTAAAAAGAAATTAAAGTATACACTTTTTTTTACCCCGGAAGGCAAACCAACAAAATCAGTGGGGTAAATACCTGGGAACATTTACCATATTTTATTGAAAATAAAAAGAGATACAAAAGGAGAGGGGGACTAGACCAAAACCTCTCCGAGGAAGGCATACCTTCCTTAAAATGTAAACAAAAACATCAAAACAACGAACAAGTAAAAGAACTATTGGGGGGGCTATACCTTACCCATTATTAAACAAAATTAGAATCTAAAATATGGAAAACCAAAAGAATCGGTATAATAAATTTTTTTGACCTCTTTGGGTAAATCTTCAATCCGCTTAATAATACCAAAATGGTCCAAATTGACATTCGGATCTGCTAAAGCATGGGCCGTCCAATTACACTCTCTAACCGCATGGCTAAAAGTGATTTTCCTTCGGACCGCCTGAGAATTGAGGTCCAGGCTATCTCCATCCTTGTTGTCCGAAAGTTTGAGAAGTGTAAGGGTTGAATCCGTTTCAACCTGAAAGTCAACAAAACCAAGCTCAATCGCCTTCCTCGTCGCCACAACCATAGCAAGGCACTCCGCCTCCTGACTGGAGGAAGCATTCACCGGAAAGTGGAACGCCCACAACATCTCCCCCCTTCTGTTTCTGAAAATAGCACCCCAGCTGATCTACCAGCGAAGAACGAGGCATCAACATTTAATTTATACTCACTCTGAGGACGCTTCCAATGAACAATCTGAAACATCGGTCTCCCAAAAGAGAAGTTATGCGTAAGCATTCCCTCCTGTAACAGATAAGTTTCAACTAGGGATGGACTCGGTTCGGGCCGAGCTCAGTTCGAGCCTTAAACTGGCCGGGCCTCGGTTCAAGGTATGGGAGGCCCGGAACCGGCCCGGGTAACCCCCGGGTCCGGGCCGGGCCTCGGTTCTATTTTATTTGGCTTTTCCTAGTTAACCCCCAACCCTCCCCCTCACCCCCAAACCAACCCTAACCACCTCAAATGGCCCAAAATACCCAGCCCAACCCAAAAACTTAAAAAAAAATCAAAAAAAAAAAAATTGGCCCGGCCCTGGCCCGAACTGGCCGGGCCGGTTCACCATTTGAAGGCCCCGAGCCTGAACCGCCATCTCACCGGGCCGGGTGGCCCGAACCGGCCAACCAACCGGTTCACCGGGCCGGTCCGGGCCCGCACAGTAGCAGGCCGGTCCGGTTCCGGGCCGGTTGGCCCGGCCCGAGTCCAACCCTAGTTTCAACTTTTCTCCTTTTCATCTTAGAGAGATTAACTGACCAAATTTGAGTATGATGCTTAATTTGAGAAATCAAATTTTCTGTCGTTGGGATGGTAGATGAACCCCATATATGCGAAGAGTATGTTTTCCAAATATACCAACATATAATCCCTGGCAAATTGTGTTTAAAAAGATCACCCACAGTCCTTGAACCAGCTTCCAACCACCAGCACATAATAATTTGCCCGATCGAGACCAGACCTCTTGGATTCGGAATCTGGAATACATTCATGAAATAATTCCAAATCCCTTTTGAAAACGTACACTGGTAAAAAAGATGGTTGATGGTATCATAGTTATTTTTGCACATAGGACATCTGGAAGGCCTAATAACCAGATTAAATCTTTGCAGATTATCAGTAACAGGCAAACAACTATAAAGTAGTTTCCATAGAAAAACCTTGATTTGCATAGGCTAATTTTTATGCCAGATATGTCTATGAGTAAAAGTAGGGGATATAACATCTCTTAAGTCATTATATGAAGCTGCTAAAAAGAAATTACCATCATTACTTGAGTTCCAAATCCACTGATTTTCATTGTTATTAGTGCAGAGGTCCTGAGCTACTGGATCAGTGATACATAGCCTCCTCCATATGGCAGAATCAGTGACTTTGGCTATCATCTCACCCCTGGGGTATCTTGCTCTGATGAAAGAGGTCCATGGTGAGTTATGAGTTTTATATTTCCACCAGAGTTTCATTGAGAAGGCCTTTTGGATTGTAGAAATGGATCTGATTCCCCACCCCCTTCCTCAGTAGGATAGCAAAGTGAAGACCACTTAACCCAATGAGTCTTGAGTTTGTCATTTGTAGAACCCCATAGAAAAGCTGCCATCTTTTTCTCTAGAATGTTAATAACTTTTCTTGGAAGTAAATCCACAACCAAAACATGAAGAGGAATAGAGTTGAGAACATGTTTTATCAAAACCAGCCTCCCTCCCTGAGAAAGGTGTTTTTGCTTCCAAGACGTGAGTCTATCATCAACCTGTTTAATTATGTCACCACAGAACTGGAACCTATTGATACCTTTGTGTAGATTTACACCTAGATATTTCATAGGAAGTTCAAAATTCCTCATCCCTGACAATTCTTTTATTATATTCACTCTACCCAAAGCTGGCCTTCCACAAATGAAAGAACTCTTTTGCAAATTAACTGTCTGTCCAGAAGCAGCCTGATAATCTTCAATAAACTTTTTAATGTTTAATAAAGATCTGGAGTCCCCATTCATAAAAATAAGTAAATCATCAGCGAAACCAAGATGGGATATAGGGAAGCCCGTCTTACCCATCCAAAAAGGTTTAATCCTGCCCTCCATCATTCTATGCTTTAGACCTCTAGAGAACCCTTCAGAAGCTAGAATAAATAGAAAAGGGGACAAAGGATCCCCTTGCTTCACTCCCATCTTGGGTTGGAAATAGCCCTATGGAGCCCCATTAATCAAGATAGATAAAAAAAAGTAGCTTGCAGATTAGATCTTATCAGAGAAACAAAATGATCTGCAAAGCCAAACTTAGTTAGAATTTCGCACAGGAACTGCCAGGAGAGTTTATCAAATGCCTTGGCCATGTCTAGCTTGATAACCACATTTGAACCTCTTACTTTCTTGTCAATAGGATGTATCATCTCCTGAGCAATTAGGATCTGATCAGCTATTTCCCTGTTTTTCATGAAGCCAACTTGTTCTTCAGAAATAATTTTCGCCATGATAGTAGATAATCTATTGGATAGAACTTTTGTACAGACCTTTGAAATAAAATTTGACAAACAAATTG